ATCAATCAAAATGCATTGTTCACATTTAAAAAATATCTTGATACACGACATTCATTGAAAATAATCGTATATATCGGAAAACATCATCTATTCATTCAATCATTATTTTATTACTAGCGACTCACCATTATTTCGTTCGGATTCGTCTCTAATTATAAACATTATCTGTTTATATATCATAAATGTTAAAGTTTGTGACTATGGATGTTTGTTACTCTTTCACGCTGAACGGATCTGGATGAAATTTAGCACAAAGATAGATTATAGCCTGGAATAACACATACGATACTTTTTACGTTGGAAAAATGTACGGTTTCCGAGGGATAGGTTGGTTTTTGTTGTAGTTTTCATATATAGGCAACGATTTGGCCAGAGCAGACTGATAAAGCGGCTATTTAGCGCATTTTTATTCTGACTTGGATTGCAAATATTAAGATTTAACATTGAAAACTTTTTTAAATCAAAATAAAATATAGGTAGGTTATATCCGTCAGGGATAGTGTAGCTTTCTATTAGTGAGTTAGTCTTTTTGGAATCGGTTCACTAGTTCCCTACATACAAACAAACAAACCAACCAACTAGCAAATCTACTATCGGCAATACAGTCACATCAACTTCAACACGTCATTTCTTAACTGATTTTGGTCTTTTTAGGGTTCCGTAGGCAACGAGGAACCCTTATAGTTTCGCCATGTCCGTCCGTCTGGCCGCAGCTTAGCTTGAAGACTCTTAATACTATAAAACTGTGATTTAACATGGATATACATATTAGTCACGCTGACATAGTAGGTAAAATAAAATCTCTGAGCGTTATCAGTTAGTCTGTGTGTATTAGTTAGTGCTGAATTTTTTTTAAGTAGAATACATAATATAAAATACCTACTTATAAACAAAGCACTATCAAAATATTTAAACTGTTTTCCAATATTATTAGTAGAACATTTGTATTGAATTCATCATCTCAATCGAATTAAAAGTAGTATCAGTTTTGACAAGATATGTATCATGATTCGTGCTCTATTTGCATATCAGTCATGTTCCGCTTCAAGCTGTCTATACAAAATGAGGCGTCGATCAAAAGGGAGAAAACAACTGAGTTCTATGTAAACTGTCCAATAACTATAATATCTACAATTATATTAAAGTATGGAATGAATTTTATTAAGTTTATTTAAAAGATTAAGTTTATTTAAATATAAATAAATAAAATATTTCATTCAAAACAAAAACAAACCTATCCCACGGGAACCGTACATTTTTCCGGGATAAAAAGTAGCCTATGTGTTATTCCAGAGTTTAATCTATCTCTGTACCAAATTTGATCCAGATCCGTTCAGCCGTTCTGGCGTGAAAGAGTAACAAATATCCATACTCACAAACTTTCACATTTATAATATTTATATACAGATTTAAGTCTTTAAAAGTAAAATAATGTCAACAGAGACTGGGGTAAATAGGTACATACTACATATATTTAACAGATTTAAGTATTAAAAAGCATTATCTAATGATGTGTAAGAGAGAAAGTAACAACAGTTTTTAATCATAAATAACAAGAAAAATAAAAACCGACAAAAGCACTAAAAAGTAAAAAATAACTGATTGGTAGTTTTCATTTACTATACATACCTATTCAAATATTTTCGAAGTCGGTGTGCTTTGGCTAAGTAATTAAAGCCTACCTATTAAATACATACCTAATCAAATATTTTCGAAATCGGTGCCAGCCCATACAAAGCAAAGCACACCGACATCGAAAATATTTGATTAAGGAATAAACACTTGCAAAGTTTCAAGTCAATATGACATTTAGAAGTAGGTTAAATTCATTATTAACTATTTTTCTACCCTTAGGGGTGGTATTCTTTTTTGAAATTTAAATGGGACCAATCTGGAAGTATACCCTTTCAAACAAAACAAAAATTGTCCAAATCGGTTAATAAATGACGAAGTTCTGAGGTAACAAACACAAAAAAAATACAGTCGAATTGAGAACCTCCTCCTTTTTGAAGTCGGTTGATAATTTCACAATCATTGTAACATTGAAATCTTAATTTCACATCTACATTTCTTCGTAACAGGGGACGTAACAAGCTCATGTCAAGTTTGAAGCAAAGTCATTTGTCCCTAGATTTCTTAATAAATTAATTCAGAAGCTAGTTTTATTGTGTAAAGTCACGATCACGACTGTCAACTAAGAGCGTGCGATCAGATGATATCTTAGCACGAACTCTTACAATGTCCGTTTTTGGCTTAAAATCCAACACTTGACGCCATGAATATAACTAAATTGTTTTTTATTCTTGTAGACTTGTACTGGATAAAAAATATATGGCGCCATGCTCAAGTTCTTAAGTGACATAATTATTATATTTTTTTATAAAAACAATCTAGCCATATCGAGTCGATACAACAAGAACAGGTCAAATTAGTCGCCTTATCTGACGGCGGTAACTTTTTTGTTCTACATGTTAGGTACATTTATAAACAAAGAAAAGCCGTTGGACTTGTTCTGTGCATGTCTTTTAAAAGAAAATATGTGAATAAACTCTATTTTCTCCATGTTTAAATATATTATAACTTTATGTTGATTCAATATTAACTTAATAAAAATAATAAAGGCTTATAACTTATTTATAAATATTTAGTAATAAATGTATCTATTAAATTGAATACATATTTCAAAATGTTATTACACCATGAATGATAATGGCGTTTGTAAATGTGTTATTACACACGTCTTTTCTTAAAATCGTGCGCTTATATCAATTTATTCAAACGTGCCATGAATTCAAGGGATCCATAATACGGAACGCAAGCGTGCTCGTGTCACTGGTGCGCAGCCAAATCTCTCGAGAATATTGCCGCTATAATAGATTCCTGAGTACATTTTCAAATATGCGTTAATAGAGCATATTATGTAGATTGCAAAGTCTTTAGCCGGCCAATTATATCAAATATTCTAGAATTATTAGAAATCAAGAGGAACCATTGTATAAGAAGTTTACGTAATAAAATATTCCGTGAACTTTAATAAAAGTTATGGAGAGAAAAACAAGAGCCGCAGCTAGGTAAAAGTTTGTTGGGATCCGACCCAACGGCCATACTTAGCAGTTTGCAAACAACCTGAAATACTATTATTCCAACTGAGTTTCTAATTTTAATGTTCATTATTCCTTACATATACCTACGTAATCTATACATATAATAAAATTGTAACTAAATCGAATCTGTACATGAAATATTTTTTGGAATAGCTTATAGAAATAAACATTATTATAGATACGGAGGCCGAAACAATAGTTTTTAGAATTCTTATCTGTCCGTCTGTTACCGCATCACGGAAAAACCCCTAGAGGGATTTTGATAAAATTTGGTATAATAATAGCTGGTTATCCGGGTCAACATACCTATAGGATACTTTTCACCGCGGGAAAATGTCTCATTTCTGAGAAAAAATACAAAAACTGCAATGAATATACTAATATGTAAAACCTAAGAATTTGGTTTTTAGTCATCTGAACGCGGGCGAAGCCGCGGCCAATGCTAGTTTAAAAATAAAACTCTTCTTTAGAAAATACCTATTACTGTGAACAAAGTGACTATAACAATTATTATTTATAAAATATTATTTAATGAAACTTATGAAAAAAATCACAACATATACAATTGCAGTAAGTTTTACGTTTAATATTTCTATTTTCAAACTGAACTTTACGGAAAGTTCTTTTTATTTTAGGATTACAAATGTTATGAAAAATTTCTTTTCTCATAAAAATATTAACGTTAAAATACAGTATGCCTAGCCTAACCAGCGTTGACCGCTAATATATAAGCCTTCACCCGACCAACCACTTTCGCGAAACATGGACCGGCTTTTAGCAAAAATTTGATCAGTGAAAGTCAAATACACCATTACACCGAGAGCCTGAAGGGAGCTCGATTAAATTAATCGATTCTACTTCTATAAAGTCTGACTAGGAAAAAACCTTTGAAAGCGCCTCTGAAGAGAAATCCATGAAAAGTAGTTATTTCTCTCTAGAACTGATACTATGGAAATTATGATACATACTACGAACGCAAAAAGTACTAAATGATTATCAGTTATATCTTTATAACATTAATCGATATCCATGTTTTATCGATCAAGCGAGTCGATAACAAACTGTTTGTATATCAAACCGCATGACATATTTTACGATGTTAATAAAAAGCCACATTGTAAACAATCAATGAATTTCTGTCGTCGTTTTGAGTAGTTTAAAAGGTAGACCACCCAAAGCCATATTAAAAATTATAGTGTCGTACCTTATTATTTATAAATTTCGTCTTAGTGGTGAAGTAATATAAAACGAATCTGTCAAACTGTTTACAGCTTTAATCATTCACAAGCAATAATACTTTGAATTAATCGCTCATGATCGAGAGCCCTCTGCTCGATATAGAGCAATTAAAATGAAATCGAAATATAAATTTGTATTCACGAACTCTGGCTGCATGAGAACCTCATTAGCTTTAGAAACGAATGAAAATAATTTAAGAGATGTGCAATAATAGATGTATAATATTGTTAAAGTACCATATAATGTTTAGTATGCATAAAACGCAATATTATCTGTAAGTAATTATCTTTATAGTCTGTGACAATCATTAATCTATGACAATTTAATAATCTGCTCTCTCTCCTCTCTGAACCTCCGAAGTGTGCATGTCTAACAAATATAATATAAATTATAATCTAATTTTATCTAAACGATCTGAAGTTATTGACGACCAATATGTATTTATTCAATTCTGTGTAATAATAAATTCATCATTGGAAGACTGCATATTATTTATCTCTTCTGGATATATGATCTACATCGCCTCTTAAAAGGTTATGGGCCCAGGGCCAGGGCCAGGGCTCCAGATCCAGAAGTATACTGAGAAATATACGATTGATCGATACGCACTGCACGGAACATTACACTCTGATCTATCTACGTGAAGAAATCTTAATTATGGCATCCGATGGCGTGATTTCCCCTGCACGTGGCGATGGCGTCTCTCGTGTCAATTCGACGACGTCTGTCCCTATGTTTCCTGCAATTGAGAAGCTGGAAGGCAGCAAGAACTACTTGGCGTGGAAATTTGCTATACGTATGGTCTTAATACTAGAAGGCTTGTGGGATTGTGTTACTGCGAATGTGGTCACAGACGCTGCGCGCGATCAACGTGCGCTGGCGCGCATAGCTTTAAGTGTTAAAACGAGCCTTTACCAGCATATTCGCAACGCAGCTACTGCTAAAGAAGCGTGGGATAGCCTTTCGGATATATTTGAAGATAAGGGACTCTTGCGTCGTGTTTTACTGTTGCGTGAACTACACCGTACACGCTATACGGATTTCAACGACATGAGTAAGTACATTGACAACACCTTCAACATAGTGCAACAGCTAGCCGATATTGGGCGAAAGATAGAAGATGAAGAAATAGCTGAATTGTTACTAAGCGGTCTACCTCAGGAATACGACTCGCTTGTGTCTAATCTGTCAACGTTCACATTAACAACAAGAATTTCTAGTGAAGTAGTGAGAACTCGCCTACTACAAGAAGATTTGCGGAGAAACAATTCTAATTCTCATAATATATCTGAAGCTGCTTATATTTCAAAACGCAAAGTGAAATGTGACTATTGTCATAAAGAAAATCATGTGAAAGCAAAATGTTTTAAGTTAAAGCGTGACAAAAAGTTAAAAAACAGTACTAATGTATGTATGGCAGCTGCATATCTCTCTAGGCATAGACAGGAAGATTGGTTATAGACTCTGGGTGCACTGCACATATGTGCAATAAGAAAGATTTCTTTGTGTCACTTAAGTCAACCTCATCAACAGTGTCAGTTGCTAACAATGAGACTATGATATGTGAAGGTGTCGGGACTGTGAATATTCAATGTAATCATAAGGTACTTATTCTTAATAATGTTTTGTATGTTCCTAAATTAACAACAAATTTGATTTCTGTGAGTAAGTTATTAGAATTAGATCTAAGAGTGGTGTTCAATTCGGGAGGTTGTTTTATATATGACAGTAATGATAAACTTATCAGTTCTGCTAGGAATTTAAATGGGATATTTAAATTGTATGGGTGTGTTAGAAATAGTAGGTATTTGCACAAAAAGGAGCATTCTTTGTTCCTTCACGATAAGAAGGACTCCCAGAGTGCCGCAGTTGCAGCTCATCAGCAGCCAATGCTATTATGGCATCGAAGGTTGGGCCATCTCAGCTCTGGAGGTATGTATGCTCTTAGAGATAGGTTAGGACATGGTTGTATGTTTCAGGCTGAAGAATCTCTACCGGATTGCGTTGCTTGCCTTGAAGGCAAGCTGACAACGAAGCCATTCCCCAAGAGTGGAGCCAGTCGTGCAGCCAAGGCTCTAGAGCTTGTACACTCTGATGTATGTGGGCCCATGCCGGTGAGCAGCTGGGGTGGTGCAAAATACATTCTTACACTGACCGATGATTATTCAAGGAAGAGCTTTGTATACCTGATGAAACAAAAATCTGAGGTATTTAGCCGATTCATTGAATTTAAAAATATGGTTGAAAAGCAGACTGGTTTATCAATTAAATGTCTTCGTAGTGACAATGGAACGGAGTATTTAAATTCAAACTTGTCTGGGTTTTTACGTAAACAGGGGATAGTTCATCAGCTTACAGTTCCTTACTGCCCTCAGCAGAATGCTGTATCAGAACGTTTAAATCGTACCCTTATGGATAAAGTACGTTGCATGTTGCAACATTCTGGTCTTGACCAGCGGTTCTGGGGAGAAGCAGTGATGACTGCTGCTTATCTTAAAAATAGGTCTCCCACAGCTGCATTGGACGGCCAGATTCCAGAAGAGGTTTGGACTAGTTCTAAACTTGACCTTAGTCACCTCCGGGTATTTGGTTGTCAGGCTTATGCATTAGTACCACGGGTTAAGCGTACAAAGTTAAACCCTAGATGCAAACCTTACATTTTTGTTGGTTATTCAGAAACCACTAAGGGGTATAGGCTGGCTGATCCCTGTGACCCTAGAAAGGTACTCTTGTCTCGTGATGTCACATTTATGGAGGAGAGATTCTTTAATTTTGGACATGACAATTCTAGTGATAATAATGAAATAATATTTTTTAATCCTTATTTATTACATAATAGTTTATCAAATGAAAATAATGTTAATAATGAATTGTCTAATGTTGATAAAAATAATTCAGTGGAGATTGATAGTTTTAATAATATTAATTCCTGTGTTTTCAAAGATTCGTGGGATACTGGCAGCGAGCACAACTCCTCTGTCGAGTGTTCGGTGAATGATGACGTAGGAGGTGTCTCTGTTACGTCACAACGCGCGACGTTGACTGGAGGGGAAGGTGTGCCTGTAGCTTCACGCCCAATACGTAGTACACGTTTGGTTCCGCCTAAAAGGTATGACGACTATGATCTGTCTATGTTTGTAAGGGATGTTTTGGTCGACGAGCCACAGTCGTATCGAGAGGCTATGGATAGTCCTTACTGCGATGACTGGATGCAGGCTATGAAGCGTGAGTATAGCTCTATGATAGAGAACAATGTATGGACCCTTGTAGAGCGACCTAAACACTCCAATGTAGTAAAATGCAAATGGGTGTATAAGGTAAAGTGTGATGCTTCAGGAAATTTTCAGCAATTTAAGGCTAGATTAGTAGCAAGGGGCTTTACACAAAAAGAAGGGGTAGATTATACAGATACATTTTCCCCAGTTGTACGCCACTCTACCATGAGATTATTATTTAGTTTGGCTAATGAATATGACTTAAATATTGACCATATTGATGTAAATACAGCTTTTCTAAATGGCACCCTTAGTGAAACTATTTTTATGGAGCAGCCCGAAGGTTTTGCTGATAATACAAATAAAGATAGGGTTTGTCTTTTGAACAAATGTATTTATGGATTGAAACAAGCTAGTAGAATGTGGTATTGTAAAGTTAATGACTTGTTGACTAAAAATAATTTTGTACAAAGTAAATGTGAACCATGTGTATTTTATTTACGGGCTGAAAAAGAAATTGTTATTATAGCATTGTATGTTGATGACTTTTACCTAATTTATAATAAGGACAGCTATAATATTAAGGTTTTATTGAGATTACTAGAGCAGGAATTCAGTATCAAAAACCTAGGTCCTATTCAGAACTATCTCGGAATTAGAATCAGTAGAGATAGAGAAAAAGGTGTACTTAAGCTAGACAAGTCAGTTTATATTAGGAAAATACTGAAAAGGTTTGGTATGTCAGACTGCAAACCAGTTTCGACTCCTATGCAATCAGGATTTAAGTTATGTAAATCAGATGATACTTTAAGTGATGATGTATATAACTATAGACAACTTTTAGGTTGTTTGATGTATCTTTCAGTTTGTACTCGTCCTGATATTGCTTACACCTGTAGTCAGTTAAGCCAGTATAATAACTGTTTTGGTAAATGTCATTGGTCAGCTGCTAAGAGAGTTTTAAGGTATCTAGCGGGTACAATTGACTATGGTTTACTTTATGTAAAAAGTAATCAATTGGTGTTGAGTGCTTATACCGATGCGGATTGGGCCAATGATTGTATTGATCGTAGGTCATATACAGGATTTGCAATAAAACTAGGGAATAATGTTGTAAACTGGGAGTCTCGAAAACAAAAGTGTATAGCACTCTCTAGTACAGAGGCTGAATATTTAGCCATAAGCGATGTTTGTAAAGACTTAAGTTTTATTACTAATTTTTTGGTAGAAGTTTTTGCTAATTTAAAATTGGACTGTATTACTGTGTACAATGACAATCAAAGTGCGCATAGATTATTAGAGTGCAAAGAATACTGTCACAAACGTACTAAACACATTGACGTGCGTTATCATTATGTAAAGGACCTAGTAAATAGCAAATTTGTGATTGTTAAGTATTTGTCTACTGATCAGATGATTGCTGACGTGTTGACTAAACCTTTAGACAAGAAAAAGCATAACTTTTTTTACTTATGAACTATGTGTTAGACATGTTATTATATAAGTATTTTCTATTGTAAAGTTATGAAATGTAGTCGTTTTTTTATGTAACGTCAGAGCTGTTTGCGTTATATGCATAAGGGGAAGTGTTAAAGTACCATATAATGTTTAGTATGCATAAAACGCAATATTATCTGTAAGTAATTATCTTTATAGTCTGTGACAATCATTAATCTATGACAATTTAATAATCTGCTCTCTCTCCTCTCTGAACCTCCGAAGTGTGCATGTCTAACAAATATAATATAAATTATAATCTAATTTTATCTAAACGATCTGAAGTTATTGACGACCAATATGTATTTATTCAATTCTGTGTAATAATAAATTCATCATTGGAAGACTGCATATTATTTATCTCTTCTGGATATATGATCTACATCGCCTCTTAAAAAATATAATAATATATTGTCAAGTAACACTCGCTATATGGCAACTCGACAGTTGTATTGGCATCGGCCGATATGGAGTCAATTTGCAGTAATGCGGCGGACAGCTTCAAGTTACTTTTTATAATACGAGGTCGTTGACTCGAGACTAAACAACACACGGTTTTAAATGTCAATGCACTGGGAAAAGTTTCTATAGCCTAAGAAGCAAATTAACAGATTATAATTTAGATTTTACGAGTAGATAATTTTATCTTAATGTATCAAAGTATATAAAAAATTCTAAAAACATGTCCAAAAGTGTCATTTATTGACTCATTCTCATCGAAAAGTAATTAAAAATGTAAATATGATAATTCAAAATAATTGATGCGTACCAAAATAGTAGGTATATACGGTATTTATAATGTATTTTCGTAGAGTGTAATAACTGAGAAATGGTGTATTTTTCTAATTGTGAAACAATTTTTAGTATCAGTTGAATAGTTCTAGAGATCATTCGTTATATAAAAAAAAAAAAAAACAATAAGCTAATTTTCCTCTTTATCTATACATATAATAAAATTGTAACTAAGCCGAATCTGTACATTAAATATTTTTTGGAAAATCTTATGGAAATAGACATCATTATCGAAATAGACATTATTATTTAGTTTTTAGAATTTTTGTCTGTCTGTCTGTCTGTTACCGTATCACAAAGAAACCACTGGAGGGATTTTGATGAAATTTGGTATGATGATGGCTGCTTATCCGGGTCAACATATAGGATACTTTTTACCGCAGGAAAATATCTCATTTCTGAGATACAAAAACTTCATTGTAAGACAATACCAATATGTAAAACCTAAGAATTAGCTTGTTGGTCATCTGAACGCGGGTGGAGCCGCGGGTAATACTAGTTACATTATAAAATTAACTCTACATTTACCATATCTTGACATACTCATACAAAAACTTGTTATCAATAAATCTAAGTAAACACAAACATCGTGTTTCCATTTTTTACTCCATATTTGGTAGACTTAGATATATTTAACAGGTACACATTACATTTATGCTCTACGTTTTCACGAATCATGTGTACAAATACAAACAAAATAATTTCAATACAAATAATTTATTTGTGAATTATTGAGGTAAATAATCTCGATTTTATAATGCCAATTTATGAGAAGTTGAGTCATTGGAGATATCGGCGTAAAAACATATTGTGACTAATACGACTAAGCGATTGCTAATGACCAGCTAAAACAAAATCACGGTGTATAGTTACGAGTACGATACGTAGTGCGGACTCTATAGTATGACCTACATACCTGATTACGTCGCTACTGTATAGAATATCGTGTGGAGAAACTAGAAGCTACAAGTAATAAAATTAAAGAAAATAACAAAATAAATTCACCACAATATTATAGTCCACGGAATAAAATTGCTTTGTAATACAAGCTTTTTAATGTTAATAATATTATTTAATAAGAATTTGGTAGCATGAGTCGTTGTTAAAATGATATTTCCTATTTGTTTTCTGTTAATTTACAAAAAAAAATTAAAAAAAGAATTAAATAATAATCATTTTACCTTTATAATTTAAAAATTTATTGCGTTCATATGAAAATTTATTATGATATTAATGATGAGAGAAGTTTTGATTTGAATTATGAAAGTTTCTATAAATTTTAATACACTAGTGTTAATTGCGTTCTTTAAGCAATAAAGAAATTCACGCAGAAAATAAGCGGTATATAAAACGAGTTTATAAGTACCGTTACCATCAGACTTGCTCTAGGATAAATAGACTAACAATGAAATGTGTGAAGCGTGACTGAACATTACACTACACCTTTGTGAGCAATACGCTGCACTTGCCTCCTTGCAAAAGTAACTTCTTCTCTAGAATCTTACACAAAAATTTGAATTCATAAAACAAAGAGCACGAGCTGAGTAGTACATTGAACATCAAAAATGAATGAGTATTTTTTCTTTCTACATATTTTTATATTTTCATGTAACTTATATTTCAACGAAAATTAAATTTAAATTGGATCGTTAACTTTTGAGAGTCTATTAACTCTGTAAGCTCTTTTAAAGCCGAAAGCATGAGTTTTGAGCCGTAACTTTAATTGATTGAACAGTCTAGATGGAGTCTTTTAAAATGATATTTTAGAAAATAAAAACAGCACAGAATTTAACATTCCTCAGGCAAGTGTATATCGACTATAATAATGTTTTCATTTTTAACAACTTAAGATGAACACGTGTATTTATCAAGCTATATTTTAATATTTTATAGAGTAGATCAAAACAATCTCTATCAAACAGTACCTCTTTAATTTGGATTAATTTTATGTCCTCGCCTTTCCATACTTAGGAGAATAATTAATATAATATCTTAAATTATTCATACTGTCTATAGTCGTTGAGCCCTTGTATTGTGAAGGAAAAAGTTCGAATCTTTTAACATCACGTCTCATAATCTAAAACCTGTCTCAACTCAACGTTCTAAGTGCTACGGGCTATTAGGTCCATATTGTATTAGGCATCATATATGGGCAAGTGCAAAACGACCTCAACGCCATAGGCTAGAAGTCAATTAGGTTGCAAAGAGAATTTGCGCTAGTTTTCGCGTCATGTCTTATCTCACGGACCCAATAGCTATCATCTTGGAAAAGTAATTGATTCTTGATATAGATCGCAGAGTTGACGGATTATATTGTACTCGAGAGATACTGAAAGTTTCAATTTATATTATTTCTTTCACAAATTTTCTTTGTATTAGATATTTACATGATTGTTTGCTATACATAGTTGTACTAGGAAAAACTTTTTATTCTGACTAAAAAATAATATACTTTTTATTGGAGCTGGGTAACAAATAATCGTTATTGACCTTTGTCGTAATTGATCACGCCTTATAAAGGTTAATAGGATTTGGAGTTGTCCTCTAATTATAGTTTCATATATACATATAGTATAACAAGCACGTCGTTGACTATTAAAATGGAGTTGAAATAATCTTCTTTTATAAAAGAATTATTAAAAAATAATAAAAAAAGAGATAAATAAAAATAACTATAACTGTTTGAACGCATTGTGAATAGGGGCCACAGGTCCGGGAACTACAGCTAAGTAGCGCCGGACGCTAGGAGTGCGCTTCGGCCTCGCTGCCCCCGTATATGGGAGCTGACGGCCGACGAGCTCGCCTTGCAACACTCGGCTTTAAGGTGTAACCTACGAATTATTGATGACAAATTATTTTGTTTTTATTTTCAGATTATTACTTATTACAGATTTAATACCATTTGCCGTTTACCCAAAATGATATGAGCACTGAAAATAGTAAAAGACGAAAAGTCCATTGTGACTTAAACAATAAAATAACCTCCTTTGACATTTTACGATTGTGAAATTCATGATGTCTAGCGAATCCTATAAATAACTAAAATGTAGTAAAAAAAATCACCTTCGCTTCCAAACTGGGATGAACAATCGGAGCTTTTGGCAATACGAGAGGGATGGGTTATTATGTAGCCAAATATGGGTAGTTGGGAACATTCTCCAAAAGTGGACTAAAGGACACCGCCGAGGACGGTCGGCAAGAAGTAGAATTACCGGGTTATTTAAGGAACTGAGAGTTCCACGAAACCACGCACGCGATGATCGTACTACTTTTGTGTGATGCGGTATTCGGGTGCACCGGTTTTATGCTAATTGGCCAAAACAAATTCGCTATACATATCAAGCGTGAGACAAATATTAATGTTTTTGTTTGTTGAATTCGGAATAACAATGTTTGTACCCACTTATGACATATACAATTACCTATGTAGAGCAAGAAATTGTGTATAACTTCTTATCTTACTACGTATAACACGAAATATATACTCGTATATGCGATACTAAGAATATTTAAGGAGATAGGAAATTATACATACCTACTTAACATTGCGTACAATCGATAGCCAAAATAGTATTGTTATCTTCCTATCTGCAAATATATATAAGTATCGATAAAGGAACTGGAAATATGATTTCATATTCAAACATTTACGCCATGTCAGAATAAAAACAAAAAACTGCAAAACATAAGTTTTTAAAATTTAATAGTTAAAAGTAGAAATATCTATGAACCATATAACGTAGCTAATACAGTTCTAATTTGAATATAAGCGAAATCAATCAGATTCCATCTGCCGTGTCACCTTTGTATTGTTAGTGGGTAAACGACCTAAGTACGTGTTGTGCGCATATCCTCATAAGGGTCTAAACCTTTACATTGTAACACTGTTCGTGAAAGCATCCAGCGTTAGAGCAAAGTCCAGTTACTAATGTGCCGGTCGGGAAGATTGATACTTCTGATATAGAAATAGCACTTCGCGCCACAAATAAAGGATACTAATGACAAATGAGAATACATTTGCTAGTGGGAAATCTAATGGAATCTATAACCATATTTAAAATGGTATTTTTTTTCTAATTAGTCAAGCCATTAACTATAGATAAAAAGCTTTTTACGTGTGTATGTATGTCATCGTTGCGGTTAATAGACGAGCGTGAAGATTTAAACACATAAAAATTGACATATTGATAAATTATGTTATTTTCAATAACAAAAAACTCGAAACGTCTTTTTTGAAAGATAATTTTTACATTTATCTTAACTCTTTATTTTAAATTTATAAGGTAAAGACATAAAATACAAGAACTGTTAACATTGCACAAACTCAATACATACTATTAATAATACTCAACAAGTCCACAGTAGTCCGCGTGGGTATTTTGCGTAAAGTGAGTAAGCTGAAAGCTCTTCGACGCACCCATCGCTCCATTACTGCAATAAGGCATCTACTAAGATGCATACAATGTACAGAGATAAGAATATTATAGCCCCTGGTTACCAGCAAGTACCTATAACTTCTCATACTCTTCTTATCTGGCTAAATATGTAGCGTAAAATATCATTACCAACCTATTGTGTCCATTACTGTATCTGCAACTGCACGCTTATCAACTACAATCTTTAGACAATTTATTGACGATTTATTAAAGGTATTATGGCTGTAGAATAATTTGTCACCTGTGATCCACTTTCTAGTAGTCTAATCACGACATCATACTCACGATTTTTCTATTAATTATAATTATCATTATTTATGTTTGCTTTTAAAATAATTTATGGTTTTCGTTAACTATTTATGTGATCGTAAGAATATCGTACAAATAAAAAGAAAGGATAATATTACCTTCCAATCTATACATATAATAAAATTCTAACTGAGTCAAATCCGTACATTAAATATTTTTTGGAAAATCTTATTGACATAGACATTATTATCAATACAGAGGCCGAATCGGGGGGCACGGCAGTGCCCCCGCCAAGTCGAGCAAAAAAAAAAGGGCACGGCAGTACCATCCTTTTCTCGAAGCGATTCAGAGCATTTTTCACCCCCCCATAACTTCGTTATGGATAAAGCTAGAAGCCTGAATTTTGAGTGACTAAGAGAACATCATATAACTAGATATATTTCCAAATTACATTCAATTTGAACTTGTAGTTTATGAACTGTTGCAGATCAAAATTCGTCAATATCGTCACTCACTCACTCACTCACCGATCATCAAAATTCTAAGGTACTTCTAGCAGACATAGGAGCTTCAAATTTTGAACACAATTAGTGTTTAGCCTATAACAGAAGGAAAAACTCAAACATCACGCAATTTCAATCCTGTTTTTGAGATATACAAACTGCATAAGTAATTTTGTAATCCTATACAAATAGATATGCGATATATGGGATTACAAAGTTATTTTTGCAGTTCATACATATAATTTTTCGTCACTTAAACTAACCAAATGGATAGCTGGGTAAATAGTGGATATACTGTAAGTGTTAGCGATGACTAAAATGTAATTATCAATATTGTAAATAGTTTTAAGAAGTAATATATTTAATATATAAATTAAAACATATATGTATTTATGATCTTAATTATAAAAAAGTATATACAAGTAATCCAACACTCGGGTGTTTCCGTAGCGAGAGTAGCTCTGTATCTTATCACCTCGGGGCAGTACCGTAGCGAGAGCCGCTCTCAGTTGCTACAAGATCTCAAATATAAAAAAAATATATGGAGTAATCGAAGACTCGGGTGTTTTCGTAATGAGAATCGCTCGGTATGTTATCACCTCGGGGCAAGACCGTAGCGAGAGCCGCTCTCGGTTGCTACAAGATCTCAAATATAAAAAAATATTTATAAGTAATCGAAGACTCGGGTGTTTTCGTAATGAGAATCGCTCGGTATGTTATCACCTCGGGGCAAGACCGTAGCGAGAGCCGCTCTCGGTTGCTACAAGATCTCAAATATAAAAAAATATATATAAGTAATCGAAGACTCGGGTGTTTTCGTAATGAGAATCGCTTTGTATGTTATCACCTCGGGGCAATACCATAGCGAAAGCCGCTCTCAGTTGTGTGTATAATCTCAATTAAAAAAAAATATATATGCGCAAACACCAGCAAAAGCAGTCATGTGTAGCCTCCCGGGAGTCCCTGATGTCCAGGAGCTACACCAACCGGTCTCTACGTTCAAATCGTTCTACGACAGAATAGAGGCCATTCCATCGGCATTAACCTCACAACTAATCAATGGTTAGTTTAGGTAGGATCAAACCCAGAACGATTACCCTTATCGACCAAATCATACATAGAAGTAAGAGAATTCGTTGTAAAATAAAAACCAGCACGAACACTTGCAAAAAATATTCGTATCGTCATCGAGAATATTTTGTATAGGATAAATATAACTATTAAATAAATTATCTAAGACCAAATTTAGCCATTTAGCACTATGCATGTAATATGTATACGTGGCATAGCTTATGTATACCTATCTATATTAGGTTTATTGCATAAAAATCTTATATGATGGTATGTAATTCAAGATTAGGATGCATTATTACTCAGGGGTTCAGTCAAAACGCTATTATTATTCCTACGCTAATTTTTTTTAAATATCTCCTTGTAGATTATGACGTAAAATTATATTACATAATTAATGTCCATAATAAATATTGTTGTGGTAGTACAGAGCCTTCGGAGCGTTAGTTCGACTTCTACTTGACTAATACATAGGTACGAGTACAATATTTATTTATCAATATTTAGTTTAGTCATGTTAAAAAAACACAGGAATAACTCATATATTATTTTATTAACTTAAATATCCAACTAAAAAAATTTATCTTTCTCAGGGTTCCGTTTGCCATCACTAAGTATTTAATTTGTTAGTCAATTCCTCCACTTTAACGACATCAAGGAACGCTAGAAGGTTTAGGTATTTTTTAAAATAATAGGTCACAATAAAATAGCACATAATATAAATATTTTGACACAAATAAACTTCATCGTAGCTTGCTTTAATTTGTGTCGTTAATGTCAAATATAAATTTCGTTTAAAAATCATAAAATATTTTAATTAAATTTACACTATTTTTTCCTTCCATTATTTAAATTAAATATTATTTTTTCATTTCCTGATATCTTACTTTTATTTTTTTCACCTCATTCATATATTCTAATAAAATTTATAATTAATAGTAAATTAATTAATTATACAATAGTTGCACTGTAAAAGGAGGTTAGGTTAGTGTTTGTAAACCTTCCCCCCCAACGTGCGTTCACCTTGTCGTGGTGGGGGGGCTCAGTAGCAGTAGCGAAGCTAAGAAACGCACAGGGAGGTTGCCCACTTCGGTGGGCGGTGGGAGGTGGCCCTCTTCGGGGGGCGGTGTACCATGCGGGTTGCTCCTGGTACTTCTCTGATAGCAGAGTGGACTGTGGAGCAACCCCATGGTTGTGGTGGTCTGCTTCAGCAGACCTGCCGTCGGGGCGTCGTAGTTGAATGCGTAAGCGATCCTGCGACGCCCCATTAAGACGGGGGAAGGTTTTGTTGGGTTTTAGTGGGTAGTACTGGCTGTATTACGCCGGTGAGTCCCACACGTCGTGCGTAAATGCAATTCCCAACGTTAAAAAAAAAAGTGTTTGTAAACCTTGTAACCTATAGGTATGTATGTTTGTATGTCCGATCCTATGTTCCCTCGTAATCACTAACATAATTTCAATTCGCCGATTTATTAATGTTTATATTTGCAACTATATGTATTAGAAAAATATTTTTTAAATGCGAAAATAATATTTTAAGCTTTTTTAGTAGCTTTACAATTTTTATGCATATACACATGGGTACATAAATGTAATGTGAAGCGTGTGTAGTTTATACCTACTAATATTCGATTACTGTTATTTCTAATGAATTGATTTATATATACCTAATTAAGAAACAACTTGACGATTACTTAATTTTAAAACCAAGCTCGTATATTTTCTTTTACAAAGTATGATGTTGATATGAATTAGAAAACCTTGTCAACATCTCATTGCTCGTAAGTCTCGTACTCGTAACTGTACACACCTAATAGAACATGGAATATAGAGGTCATGAAATATCAATCTCATCGAAAATTTCTTTTAAAATGGAATAGAAGACAAATTTCGGGATTTAACTACGATGCTGCAGATAGACACATAAATCTACACGTCTTATTAAACTTATGTAAGTTGAATATCAGTATCGGGGTAGGTATTTAGGGTCAACAATGAAATTAAAATATTCGTTAAATTAACTATACATATTTATACTTAATGCATAAGATAGTAGTATTAAAGTCCAGGAATCCGCAATTTCCCAATACAATAGATTTAGATTTTTTATCATCCAGACTTGTCAAAATTTGTTATATCAAAGCCTCTAAAAAGACCACAGAGACAAGGAGTGGGCTTTTAAAAAGACCTTAGCTGACCCACAAGAAATAGTACAAGAAAAGAGAAAAAGAAGAAATATTTACAAAAAGAAATGAGATCCCATCAAAAACATACTGTAAAAAATTGCAAGTCTCGCAATGCATTACTTCTACCGCAAAAAGCTATGAGATATAATGTAAAACCAAGTCGGTTAATTTATTCATTACCTATCTATGGAAGCATCTATCCGACAACTTTGTCATAAATCGTTACCGAATTAGTTAAGTTACAACATTTTATAGTAACCGTATTAATATTAGATATATTTATTTCTTCAATTTATAGAATGACTTGGCCATCGCACATGATAATAGAACTTTTAAAATAACAAAATTTACCTAATATTAGCGTTCTGAGTGCATTATTTATGTTAGTGTATGCATAAATTTGACCCGCTAGTGCTATGTTCAGTTCATCTCAGCCCAAACACGTCCACAGCTGGACATAGGCCTCCCCCAAAAATTTTCATGACAACCAGTCTTGTGCCATCCGCATCCAGTGGGCTCCAGCGACTTCGACCAAGTCGTCGGTCCACCTTGGTCATGGTATGTTTAATTAGAACTATTTAAAGTAGTAGACTCTTATGTGATTATGTTTCCGTGCGATGGCCAAGTCATTCTATTAATTAAAGAAATAAATATATCTAATATTAATACGGTTACTATAAAATGTTGTAACTTAACTAATTCGGTAACGATTTATGACAAAGTTGTCGGATAGATGCTTCCATAGATAGGTAATGAATAAATTAACCGACTTGGTTTTACATTATATCTCATAGCTTTTTGCGGTAGAAGTAATGCATTGCGAGACTTGCAATTTTTTACAGTATGTTTTTGATGGGATCTATAGTTTTTAGAATTTTAGTCTGTCTGTCTGTTACCGCATCACAGAAAAACTAGTGGACGGATTTTGATAAAATTTGGTATGGTCATAGCTGATTAGCCGAGTCAACATATAGGATACTTTTTACCGTGGAAAAATATCTCATTTCTGAGAAAAAATACAAAAACTGTAATGTAACTGTAACGAGTATACTAATATATAAAACCTAAGAATTTGGTTTTTGGTCATCTGAACGCGGGCGGAGCCACGGGCAATGCTAGTATAAATATATTGCTAAGCGTAAATGTATGTCTGACATCTCTATGTCTAACTAAACTAAGCTAGCTGTTCTATTCCTGTACGATGCAAATACATACATACGTCCCATGTGTTTGTTGTTTGAATTGACATCTCATCACCTAAGTTAAATAATAATAAATGAGAAGAGTTCATGTTTAATAACTATATCATCATCTGTCTCTATACATATATTTAATGTCACAATATGAAATACATACATTGTGATTTTAAAGACGAAACATTTAATATTTATTACATGTACAAACAATAATTTTATATTGCTAACGTGAAGATCGTTAGAAATTATACTTCAAAGATGAGCATGTAATATATTCAGACGTATAATTTAAACCTCTATTTTACAGTGAACAGAACAACGTACAATGAATCATGCAATTGCTATTTAACAAGAAATAAGCAGACGCCACAATGCTGTACTCTTCATACGAGTCCTTTTATATACGGTCCTCCTTTACATTAATGACAATTAATCGTAAAGTAAGGTAAGGTATATATGTGAAGTAAAATTAAGGTAACATACTCTTACCGACGAATAGTATAGTTTTTATATAAATTAGTGATTAAGTTATTGATTAGATTATGATATTGAGATTTTTTAGGAAATCCCCTAAAGATTTTTTATTTATACTAGCAATTATTATTATTTATGCAAATCTGATGTGTTATTATAATTTTAAGTACGCGTGGAATATATAGGTATGTTTTAATATTTATCTATTCATATAGTCAATAATATTCAGTTAAACAAATGAATTCAACATACATATCTAACAGACGCGAAACCTATTAGAGTTGCTCTAGGATTTAGTCTGCGCTACTTTAAGTTCTCGTTAACGAAGCAATCCATGTCACAAGTATCAGAGTTATCAAGAACGTTTAAAATTGATTGCATAATCTCAGAAATCAGATATTTAATTATTTTTATGAGTACTCTATAGTATACTGTACTAGAAAAAGCCATACGCAAAATGCATGTTCTATTCATAGCAAAAACTCAAGACGAGGTTTAATTATATCTTATCTACGTACATACGTAGATATGGGCCAACGTTCATATGTACATATATCCATATACATATGTGTATCAGCAGGTCAAGTGAACACGATGAGTTTTGACTATTGGCACCGGATATTGCAGAGTCGCTAGTGTTTCCGCTTCACGCTATAACTTTATTAATGCTGAATTTCTGCTAAATTGTACAATTTGAGAATATTTTCGTATACCAGTAATAAGTATTCTCAATCATGAGCTCGAAATGCTCTATTACATACATATGCAAAAGTTTCACAAGTTATACGCGAAAATTAGATCACGATAAAATGAATTATTAATTTTCTTAATTATTTAAGATTTTTATCAGTATACATTATTATTTAAATAAACATTTGGCCTTAAGATTATAGGTATAAAGCAATGTCCTATTTAGATAAGTGTCATTTACTCACAAATGCTTTCACCTCGCTTCAACAGAAATATGAATGTAGCACCATAAACAGGTTTATCTATAAAGCGTTAAAAGTAAAAAAAGACATGTAAAATATTATAATTAACTTAATGATCACCTATATCATCATAAATAGGTTTTTTCTCATTAGGAAGCCCAGGTTATATACTAAGAATACATTTCTTAACTTAATATAGTAATATATAAGAAAGTGTTACAAAGTTTAACACAATTACTAACTTAACATGTAAATAATAATTGTTGAACTAAGAAAAAGGTTGTTGCTCAGGTAGATATATATCATCAAACATGTACCATCATAGAAATTATAGAATATATGAATAGTATAGAAGAAAAACCAAAATATTACGTCACAATACAGAGCGGAGTAAAAACCCTAATCAGAAATAAGCGCTGAACCTTGGCAGCTTGGATCGATAGAGCCTTGAACTATGACCGCGAGCTACTTCAGGAAAATTTCATTTGTGGCTTTGAAGAATAATAGAGATTTTAACTAACAAAAGTATACATTAAGTTGATATATAACTCAATTTATAGTTTTGAAAAATATATAGTATGATTATTAGGATAAATTAATAATAATATCTACATAGACATTAGGATAAAATTTCTAAATACGAAGCTTTAATTATGAATCTGTCTTTACCAAAAGAAGTTCTCGTAGACAAAATGATTGCGAAACATTCTTTTGATGAAAGCTTTTACATTTACGAGTATTAAAAATATTACGGTACAGATTTCCTGTTGTTTCATATTGCATTGCAGTTGCACTTTGTATAATAATAATAAAACTTTTGTCGAAAGCAGACTCATGTGTACTTAATTTTTTTCAAATCTATGTGATTTCCGGTGGTAAAGCTTACATAACTTTGGCAATTTATGAAATCAATAATAACAAGTATAATATGTTGGCTGGTTGTTAACTTGGAAATGTACTTAAAAAGCTTTCAAGCTTCTTGCACTAATTGAAAAAGTCGATATCTGGGCCAGAAAAGATAATTGGATAATTTTAACTGAGAAGAAGGTGAGCTGAATTTATTGCACGTTCATATGTTACGTTTAGTAAGTTTAAGTTAAACATGTTAAATTAATCATATAAATAGTATTTTTATATATTTTTAATCACAATCCAGCTTTAATTCTTTCTCATTTCGACTTATATCATACTATGTATGAAATGAAAGCTATTTAGTAGATGCAAGACGCTGAAAACTGTTCCGCGAATCACTTCTCTTGATAACGAATGTGATAAGCGCGGCCGGTCAACCTGTTTGCTACGTCCCTCAGTTTGTGATTATATTAGATAAGGACAATATACCAGTTATGTACTGATTAGAATTCTGACTCTAATAAGGCAATTTATTTAATCTGTAATCAAGGAATAAAATCAATAATTGAATACTACATATATTTCTAGTACTGTGTTCTGTATTTCCATAAATATTTTTTACAAGTGAAACTCGGTATTCGTTAACCGCCTACGCGGCAATTGGTTTTAATTAATAGCCCATGTCATTCGACTGTTATTCACTGTATTATATTAAAAACAATACTTCCGTATATGAATAATTATTTTTTAATACATTAAAAAATAATATCAGTTTTTTTTTAAATGGGTAAAAACGTAAGTAAAGAGTTTCGTTCAATTTTATTATATACTATAACAAGGACAGTATAAAACCGATCAAAATAAAAGGCCAACGCGTTTCATACGTAACCTTTTAACCTTTGTTTTATGAATGAAATCTTCACTTTTTCCATACTTACATCACATGAGTAAAATATGTAGACTGAGAGATCTTGTACTCAATAAACTCATATCTACGATTAATATTTATCCATAATGAAAATAAGTTTCCATTATTTTATGTCATGGTCAATTCGATAAAGCGTCGGCTTATTACAATAAATGTATGTAATATCTGATAATAATACATAATATATTAATTTAATCGAAGAATCAAAATTAAAGAAATTGTTTATCTCACCTTCTGTGTTGTAAAATGGAGTAAATAGTAAGCTATTATTTTTTTTATAATAAGTTAAAAAATAGACGACAAAAACATTTAAGACGATCAAACGATTTCAATTTGTACTAACTCAATTTTTTTAAAAGCAACACATTTTGTTATAAGATAATAACGAATGTTGCCGCGCGCGCGTTTACTATGTACGGGAAAACGAGGAAAACTCGAACTCACCTGCGTGGGGAGAACAGTCTCCCGGCCCAGGGGTATCGACATTTTGCTAGCGGCGCCGCCGGCCGCGCCCCGGCGCCCGCCCGCGCCGCACCATCCACCGACCCGACACTACGGGCCCGCGCGCCGCCCTCGCCCAACTCGCCCAACAGACGCCTCCGACCACCAAGAAAAACACTTCCCCGGAAATGAACCCACGAGCTTCTTCACCATCGACTTACGGCAAAAATATTCTTATATCACAAGAAAATTTTCATTCCCATCCAGCGATAAGAGAACACAACAAAAAAATCCGAAAACGAGATTACAGATGAGCGAAACGACAACGCGGCGATGACACCGGACTGACACCCGCCCCGATAGCTGCGAGCGCGCGACTAACGAAAAGGCGAGAGTGCCTCGCGCCGCGCAGTCACAGCCACCCCGCGCCTGCTTGTGCTACGCGATCAGCCGCATGGGGTCGCCTCGGCACTCGGCTCAGCCTCCGTCATCTCGCGGACCCTTCGCCAGATCACATGGACACGTGCCTCGGCCACGGGCGTAGTGCGGTTATCGAGCGCGAGTACACATGCGCACTTCCCCGCACTATTTGTGGCTCATTCATTTAAAGGTATCGCATCGCGTACATTGTACAATATACTATACACCTGAGCAAATATTATGAACTCTACAATAGGAACGTTGTTTCGAAATGTTCAAACAATTAACCCGCTGCAGACGTTACGAGTAAACTGCAATAGACAAGTAACTGTATTAATTACTAATTGCTCATTACTAGACCTATGTATAGTACATCTAGCTTGTAGATTTAGGTTTCTAATTGGACTCTAATGAATGGTCATTTCAGAATACACATTCATACAATGATACCTACATCTTCCGATTTCATGATATATTTACTGAATAAAATTAAATATCATCAACAATAAATTTTATTAATAGCAAAGAATCAAAAATATTTATTTTATATGTTTATTGAAGAAGGCTATATATTATATTATGCTATCTATTATCATACTATAACGCTTAATAGTGGCAAATAAACATAATCATAAACTACACAAGCGGAACTGCGGATAAAAGCTAATTTAAATATGAAATTAGAAGTATAAAGTATAGACAGGTGTCATCTGCTTAACTAATACAGCAATGTCGTAGGAAGGGTAGCGAGGAATGGTTATGCGTAGGCGCTTCTCGAGGCAAACTAAGTTCAGGTAGCTCGCCCACTTTTCCTTTCTGCTACGTTCACCGCTCCAGATTACGTCATTCACTAGGTATCACTATTTATTGACTATCTTGTGGGTGGGCAAGCTTCACAATTCGGGATTTGTATCGCTTATCGATTTCGACAAGTTGCCTTTCAATTGACCTAAATATTGCCTTCGTTTAATATAGCTACCTAATATCCATTATTAACAAATTCCAAGTATTTTTAAAGCGCAAAACCCATCGTTATTTTAAATCAAATAATAAAAGAAAGCTAGCGAGCTGGGTTTAGAGAAAGGCAACAGAGACTAATGCCCCGGAGGTATTTTATCATATACCTATTTTTATGGTTATATTAGTTTTTAATATTGAATATAAAATATTAAATAATTAAAAAAATATATTATAGGGTATTTATTGATTTAAATTTTAAATTAAAATCCTGCTGATTTTAATTTATGAATCCATTTGATGCCGGTTAAAATAAACTCTTAGATAAGACCTTTATAAGAAGGTAATTCAATATATCGTCAGAACATTATTGAAATAATCACACCACATATCATCTCGCTTTATCGTAAGTTAAATATATAAATGATAATTCTGAATAAAAAATTGACAATAGATATATTATTGAGACATTACAGAATGTTTAATACTTAAAAAATGCCGCATATCGAATCCACCAAAATCATTAATTAAATGCGGTAAATTAACTAGCTACCCTATTTTGGGAATACCAGTCAACATAAGCAAGATACTAAGAAACAATCTTAGGTAAAATATGGAGCTTTCGTAAGCGCTCCATTTTCTTTGAGTTTAAATTTTATGTAAATAGCTGAACAAAGTACAATAACACCTATGTACGTATTGAATTTTAAATAAAAAAAATAGATAAAAAAGAAACAGAAAAGAAATACGCGGCTCTATTTATAACATAGTAATCTACTTGTTCTATTATATGCCAAGTTAAAAAATTTCAATTACAATGGAAACCTATAAATAAAATATTATAATTATATGTAGATAACTATTCAATCAATCAAAATATATTTTGTTCAAATACTTTTACAAACACCAATAACTACTAACCTTTTTTTTTTATGTCGGGAAATGCATTTACGCATACCACCTGATCCCCCAGGTGGTGATGTGGGGCTCACCGGCTAGAAGAGCCGGTACTACCCACTAAAACCCGACATTCCCCTCCCCTCCGCCTTAATGGGACGCCGCAGGAGATAACTACTAACCTGTGTAAGTCCGTGAGGAATCTACTATATAATAATATCTATTCGGTAAGTTCGTAAGGAATCTACCACCGATTCGGAAAGCAGTTCTGCTAAGAAAAACCGGCGAGAAACTCAACAGTTGCTCTTTCTAAATATAATATTAATTTACAATATTGGCAATACAATATTTATGTTCTCATCCTGTGTGAGTATCAACTCATACCTAGTACTTAGCCCCACACATTTACATCTGCAAAGTATTCCGCGACGGAGTAATACGCTTTGCTCTATATAATATTTTTAATTTTACATTTTTTTTAATATTTTTTTAATTAATTTTTAACTTAAATAATAATTTCATTATGGACTTTTTTATATTTTATTTAACTATGCACGCACGTGGACGTACGTGGAATAAAAATATTCTATATATGACTACAAGATAGCGCTCTACACAATACACATGTCGAAAATAATTACGTGTAAGCATTTTCATTTGACACTATTTGCGTATGCATTTTTAAATAGTGCATTTTTTATTATATAGATTCTAACCTGAACGGCACCCGTTTGTCCCTCCAACATTGTCCACCTTCCGTAGGCCGTCATACTTCTTCACATCAGGTCCTTCCAAATGATACCACTTCACTTATAAATTAATAGTATCTCATAGAAATTAAAGGCGTCAGGAAGTCTCAAAGGCAAGTTCACTACTGCAATGACACACCGACAAATACACTATTTAGTGCTTGATTAGCACAAACTGTGCAAATCGTTCGACGGCCACGGATCGCTAGGAAACATGTCGCAGATTTAAATTGATTGCCTCTCCCAAGTCACATTCATTGACGTGATTGAGCCGATGGATGAAATGGACCTTGCGAGGTTGTTAGTTATAGTTATTGGAACAATATATAGTAATGGCAATGCACATTGATTTGGTAACAATTTGTGTATTAAGAGTGTGAGAGTTTCTTTTGAGTTTGAATATGGGCATAATATTGTAGATCTACAACGTACGTACGGATTGTTTGCATCGAGGACGCCGTGTAAATTAGAAATACTAATTGATATAAAGTAATGAAAACTAAATTTGAGTTAAACAAATTCAAAATATGATTATTAATTAAAATATTTTTCTAAAAAGTGAAATATTAAAATGATTCTTCACAGATGTACAATTATGAATACCTATGTACTATGTATCTACAAAAGCATACCTATTACTCGTAAAAGTCGTCCTATAAAAGATGAGTTTTATTCAAGATTGCGAATATCCTTAGTATTCTTGTTCCTTTCATTTTGGCCATACAATTCATCTCCCTGTAAAATCTCTTTCGACACTATTGTAGTTGTAAGCGTAAAAAATAATAAATAAAAGCACAAATCACACTGATAGTAATGCTATATAGAGCATGAGAATTTACTTAATATTTAACCAACTTACAAAAAAAGAACAGATTCTGATTTTGCGAACGTCTTTTTATAAAATATTTGTTCTATTTGAATATAAATGAGAAAGAAGATGTATCTAAAACGTATTATTATGATAAAACTAGTGGCTTGCATTATTTAAAATGATGTAGATAATAGTTTTTCAAACTGACATAAGAGATGCTAATAAGATACTTTGATAACTACAAAATAAAATAAAATTTGATTTGTTCTTCATGTTTTATTAAGTTAAAATCACACTACAAGTATTACAGTATGGCATGATGTGATAATTAAAAGTAATGGAATATTTATCGGTTGCTCCTTTTGTTCATACGCAAATCTCTCTCGATCTCGTACTGGCGTACGTCCGTCCTCTCCAGAAAATCTCGACGATCCAAAAATCTAAAAAAATATATTTATAACTAGTATAACATCATATAAACAAACAATACAATTCAGCGATGTTCGTTTGATTCAGGTGTACCGGAGTGCGATGAGGAGGATCTGCAGCCTAAATGCATGGAACTAGACCAACGAGATCAGCACACAGTATTTGTACTAAGTAGATATTTAGAGATAACGGTTAGTATAGATTTCTCAGTGGTAAGATGTTTTCCTGCAGTAAAAAGTATCCTATATGTTGACCCGGATAACAAGCTATCACCGTACCAAATTTCATCAAAATCCCTCCAGTGGTTTTCTCTTCTTATAATGCGTTCCCAGAGAGACAGCCAAAAATTCTAAAAACTATATATTCGGCCTCTGTATCGATAATAATGATTATTTCAATAAGATTATTCAAAAAATATTTAATGTATAGATTCTACTCAGACTTTTATTATATGTATAGATATACATATAATTTTGTATCCGTTTATATATTATCTAGTGCAAATCCAACTTAATTGCCTTTTACCTGACTGCGACTAACCTCAAAGAAAGATACACTCACATGTAGAAAGGCAGCAAGTATAAGTTTTACTTTTAGACTCCGACATTACACTATGATCCCTTGTCAATTTATCGTTTTAATTTCGCTCCTTAACACAGTCGAGTTCTTTTTCATAATTTCAATAATTTAATTTGATTATATTAGTTTAGATAACTATAATTGCTATTAAGTTTAACGCTTGAATGTGTAACTATTTTGACAATATAGCTAAAACAAAAAGTAGGCTTAAAAGTAACGTGTTTTTCTTGAATTTCCTTCTTTTTTAAAATTTAACTTATTTCCACTATTATAAACAATTTTTATTAAAAAAATCATTAAGCTTTTAAAACGTATTGACAGTGATCACGATTATATTGTGATTCTTTTGTCGTGCCCTATTTAGCTAAATTTTAATTTTCAAAATAATTTACTAGCTAGCTATAAAATGAAGATTATAAATTTTTATTTATTTTAATTTCGAAGCTTACTTATATTATATAGGTAGTTCTAGCGGCTCACCCTCGCTTCGCTAGAGTTCGCCTATAGAAAAAGAAATCTATTCCACGGGAACCGTACATTTTTCCGGGATAAAAAGTAGCCTATGTTTTATTCTGATGTATGAGCTATATTATTGTAAAGTTTTATTTAAATCCATTAAGTAGTTTTTACGTGAATAATAAACATCCATACATCTATATATCCATTATCCAGACATCCTCCCCTCACAAACTTTTGCATTTATAATGTTAGTAGGATATACTTTATAAAACTGGGAAGTTTTATATTTACATATTTATTTATTTTTAACTTTTTTGCATTTAATAGCTTATACATATTCACGCTATGACCCTTACGAGCGGGGAAATTGCACAAAAATAAACTACGCGAGCGGACCCGTGAGCAAAACTTAGTTTACATATAAAAATAACACACTTAAATACGCACCCAGCCTTGCCTTTATTGTGACTGACGATTTCTTCTTCGATACCTTCTTCCTTCTTGTACGTATCCCAATCCAGTTTGGATTTTTCTAATGTAGAAAGTTTATTTTTCTTATTTAACTGGCCAAGCACATTTGACAAGCCCGCGCCTCGGCTACGTGATGGCCCTTCCAGCTTACTCACTGTATCAAAACATAAATAAGTTAATTGTATTTCAGTATATATGGCGACTTTCATAACGTGGCCATCGAACGATTAGTGGTGCAAGGAAGGGTAGAGGGCACTAGAGCGTGTGGTAGATCGGCAATGAGGTGGACAGACCAAGTCAGAGCGGTAGCAGACGTCCCACTGCATCAATGTGTGTGTGAAACGCAAATAATAGAGAGGAGTGGAGGCGAATAATCGTACGGGTTACAAGACCTATATGATGACCACGACCAGTCTGTCAAGACTGTAACGACTAAGAAGAAGAAGAAGCGACTTTCACTCGCTTTGCTCGATTGCATCCCTAGTTGTCCAACAAGGAGTAACAAACATACACACACATACAAACTTTCGCCATTTTAATAGGATTTCGATATAAGCACTAGACAGGTAAGACGTAAGTATAATAATATAAACCGTTATTTTGTATTTTACTAGGTATTATGAAAAGACTTGGTAAAAGCCTGTTTGTTAGGAGAAAATAATTAATAGATTGTAACTTGTAATATTTTGGTATATATAAAAAATTTGAAACTGCTTGCATCGAAAAATATCAGGCTAATTTTTATACAGTTTAGACATTGTACAGACACGGTAAAGAAATAGCAATATTTAAATTCATTAATTATCATAATTTTTATATTCCTTACATAGCTTTTCATAATAAATAATTTACCTGTAGCTGGATTGTCAGATGTTTTAATTTTTTCTTTTATAACGTTATTTTCAACAACAATAGTTTCTCCAGCAAATTCAAATATCCGTTTCTCTCTGTCTTTATCATCTTCTTTCTCCTTAATGTTTTTATTAATAGGAATATTACTAGATTCTGTTTGATTCTTTTCCATTGATTTTGTAGTGTTGTTTGACTCCGTTACCTTAGGTTTAAGTACAGTGTCTGTGCCCTCTAAGAACTTAGCCCACAAATCGTCCTCTTTTTTCTTGTCTTCTTCTGGATTTAATTTAGGAAGTTCATCATCTTTACCTTCTGTTTCATCACTGACAATCTCATTTGTACTATTCTTTGTTTTCATTTTCTTTTTAATTTTTGCTGGTAATTTTGATTTTCGTTTCTTTGTATTGTGGTCAAGCTCCTTTTCATACTGCAAATCGGTTTGTTCATCAGCAGACTCCTCTTCTGACACTTTCTCAGGTTCTCCTGGCACATAGTCCTCATCACTTTCACTTCCAGAAGACATCTGAAATTACAAGAAGAAAATGGAAATTAAGTAGGTAGCTAAATAAAAATTCACCATATAGAGAATATTATAAGTATAGCATGGCAATCACAGCAACAGTCGTATATTATCCAAATTACATTGCTTATTACACCAGAGTTCACAGCTTTGATTACTATACAAAAAATATATTCTTTGGTATAAAACTGTCCACAAATAACAAGCATAAGTAATTTACATATTTTTTTATATACTTTTGTTTGCTAAATCTAAAAATATGTCAGGGAAAGAATTTTTTAAGTTCAAATTTAGACACACCTTTCAAGAATTACTTACAATATACAAATTTAAAATTTAAAAAACCCCCTACTTAAATTAATTGTCATTTAACGATTACACTAGCACGCGTGAAGCACTTAATCGAGTAATCATACGCCAAATTCCCTTATATCATTTAGTATAAGAGCTGATACTCTTACACTGCTGGACCGATATTAACCAAAAATAGCTAAGAACCACCGCAAGGAAATGGCTTTCAAATGAAAAAAACCGCATCGACATCCGTCCATCCGTTTGAGAGCTACGTTGCCACACACACACACACACAGACAGACACACACACACACACACACACGCACACACACACACACAGACACACACACGCATTCGCACACACACACAGACACACACACACAGACTTACAGACATCGACGTCAAACTTATAACACCACCACCCCTCTTTTTACTTCGGGGGTTAAAAATATCATTTAATGCTGAGATTTATATCTATACATATTTTAATATACATATCACTACATAGTATAAAACAAAGTCGCTTTCTCTGTCCCTATATCCCTATGTATGCTTAAATCTTTAAAACTACGCAACGGATTTTGATGCGGTTTTTTAATAGTTATAGTGATTCAAGAGGAAAGTTTTAGTATATAATTTGTTAAGTTTTGGTATACATTGGCTAAAATATAACGATATTTGCTGGATTGTCGGAAAAAATGAGACGTCTGGGAGCTTTGAACGAAAACGCTGCCTAAAGCCTTTGAGATATAAAAAAATAATGTATGGTGGAATTGTGTATCTTATATAGGTCTACAGAAAAGTCCGCGATGGCATATGTCTATCTCTTAAGGATAAGATACTATATCCATTTTAATTGAAAACGTACCTAGGAACGAACCCGAGCGAAGCGAGGGCGAGTCGCTAGTTTTAATATAACAGTAATTTAGCAAAGTTTGTACATGAAATATTTTTTAAAAACAATGACTGTTAAGCAATTATTATTAAAAATTTTGTCTGTTTGGGTGTGCGCGTTTAAACACGCAAAAAGTACTGAACCGATTTTAACTAAATTTTGTATAGATAACTTATTCGGTCAACATTTAGGATGCGCAGTAAACTGCAGGAAAATGTTCCATTACCATTAAAAAACACAAACTGGTTCTATCGAGTGTCCTTAAAAACCTACAAACCTTAAGAGATATCTTCATCAAAACAATGTACTAAGTAGGTCTTACTAGATACGGCCTTTGGCTAGATTTTCTAAAAAATATATTTAATGTACCTACAGGTTCGGCTGGGTTAGAATTTTATTATATGTACAGATAAATATATTATATAATATAATCGCACTAATTGATTAATATTATAAATGCGAAAGTTTAGATAGATGTTTGTTACTCAATCACACCGGAACGACTGAACGTATCTGGATGACATTTGTCACAGAGATAAATTATATTTTGGAATAGGACATAGGTTACTTCTATCCCGGAAAAATGTAAGGTTAGATTTGTTATTGTTTTTCACAGAGCAAGCGAACGGCCATCTTTTCCATACTAATTGTTATAAAGCACCTAGGATGTAATTAAATAAAGGTGTGTTAAAGAAATTAATTCAAATTTTTGGCCTCCATACAAAGCTGTGAAATAATAATAAAATACAGTGGGAAAGCTTTACTTACTTAATTTTATTTAAAAAAAAAACGAAAATTCTTTAGCTTATATGTATATAATTATATATTATTAATTTCTCAACAACTAAGAATCTTTTAATATTATTTATGTTTTTTTTAGTTTATCTATGGTCAAACTAAAAGCACTTGCTTCAAATTCTATTCCTAACTCAAACTTGTAATATTTGTACAGGAATTTTCTTATTATTTATTAAAAACAATTAAAATTATTTATGTTTATTTATTTAAATTAGGAACAACAAATTCAAGTGGTTAGACAAGTCGTTTTTTATTTCTATTTCTGTTCTTTACATTTGATACTTCATAAAAGTTGCTTCCAGTCTTTGTGCGTTTTTGAGCTCTATCTAATGCTCTTCTTTGTTTAGCTGTCATTTTAGCTTTCATATTTTTTAATATTTCATTCGCCTTATGTTTCTTTCCTGTTGGCAGCATTTCTTCAACTGTAAATGTACCACTTGCTACTTGCAATCTTTTTCTCTTCAATTCTTTTACTGTTTCAGAATCATTAGTCAAATGATCTTCTACATCACTACATACATTTTCAGCATCACTATAGAAATTGCTTATGTCAGAGTCACTATCATCATTCTGTTCTTTTTCTTTATTATCACCGTTTTCGTCATCATTTTCATTGTCTGATTTAGTGACATTTTGTTCATCAATACCTTGTAATTCTTCAGGGATATCAACATCATCAAGAGGCTTGACATCTTCATCATTATCAAATTGCAAGCCAACTCTTATTTTAGCAAAATCTTGTGCTATAATCAATTTATTAACAGTAAGTACTGGTTTATCAGATTCTTCTTTGGCTTCAGTAGAAATTGAATCTTTTGGTATTTTTTCTTCTTTTTTATCATCCACCTTAGTTTGAATTTCCTTTGTGTCTTTATTTTGTTGTTGCTTAGTTAAAGGCACTTCAAAACCTTCAGGTGCTACATAAAATGGCAACTTGCCTCTCTGCCAGTCATTCAGTACCATTTTTGCTACTTGACTGACATCTGGTTCACCTTTCTTTAACAATTTCCCTGTTCTTGCTGCTAATTTCTCTAAAAATTCTGTAGCTGTATTCCAACCTTCTACTTTGTATGTTTTCGTTAAATATTCTTTTCTAACCCTTTTTATTACCTCTTCTATGTAATCTTCAGGATTTTGGACCAGTTCAACTCTAACAACACCTTTCAAAACTTTTTCAGTATCAGTTTCTGCTGAAGGATACACTATACCTGGACAATCAATAAGGAAAATTCTTCTCATTAAAGTAATATATTGCCAAACTTTTGTTTCACCAGCAATAGGTGCAACTTTACACACCTTTTTAGCTCTCAATGTATTAATAACAGATGATTTGCCAACATTCGGATAGCCAATGAGCCCAACACTTATTTGTTTTTTGTCTATGTGTAGTTTTGCAAACTGTCGTAACAAATTTATAAGAGATCCTTTCCCAAATGGATGAGTCATAGATGCATGAAAAGCTATTGTGGGATACTCTGAACTTAGAATAGCAACCCACCTTTGTGTCACCCAGTTTGGAACTAAGTCTACTTTGTTTAAGATAAAAATCAAATGCTTATGTGGTTTTTCTTCTCTAAGAAATTTCTCAACATAAGGACTTCTTGTACCCATAGGATCTCTCGCATCTAAAATTTGTAATAAAACATCAGATGAATCAATGACTTTATACAGTTCATTCCAAATTCTTCTGCTCATTCCTGCACCAAAAATCCATTCTCTTTGCCCATCTTTCATACCACTATCTTCACGTACCCTGTCAACATCTTTATTTACATCATATTTTTCAGCATTTTCCTCAACAGCTTTAGATAAAGTTTCTAAATCGTTAAATTTTAAATTCACTCTTTTTCTTTGCTTTTTTGGCCCAAACGTTTTGTCAAAGCCTTCAGTATCTAATAAATGAACTCTAGCATGTTTAGCTTTTTCATTAAGTAATGTTATGGGTAAATTGGTTGGTTTCATTACAACTTGATAAGGATTCTTTACGGCTGCCCCAAATTCCTCCTGGAACTTTTGTAAAGCGCTTTGTGATATAACTCTAGAGTTTCCAAACCATTTTTGGTTAGGTTCTACTCGAGCTCGAGTACCTGATGGAAGCCAACCTTGAAATGGTGCAGGAGTAAGAATTTTCCCTGTTTTATCTCTTTTGGCTTTAAAATTACGATACATTTGAAGACGCTTTATAGTTCCTTTTGTTCTAGGCTTCCCAACTCCTTTGAGTCCTTCAGTCGGTCTATCAGGATTCATTGAATGTCCTGATTTATTGAAACCTTCTTTACGGGGGGCACCCGGTGCTGATCTCACTTTGCCCATTTTCGAATTTACAAAAAAATTATATTTATTTAAAACTTTGGTTTATTACCACGAGGATTTACTTTAACACACTTTCACTACACTGTGTTTTAGGTTATAACCAAAAGCAACCATTAACCAAGTCAACAGAATAGGTTTTAGGTTAGCTTGTTTATGACAGTACTAAAAGATATGCTAACTTCACACTGGTAGTGATTTGTGTTTGCCCTATTGTAATAAAGTATATAGCTTACCTTAGGTATAAAATCCTTTATATTTTCATGTAAACCTAATATTTTATTTAAAGTAACACTCTTCTAAGCAACAAGATATAAATCTATAATTCTATCGTAAAATAAAATATTTCAAGTTCTACTATAATGGCTAACTTCAGAACACAACTTTACTTTTTTATTGTTACAGCTTTGGGATCTCATCTTTTGCTACTCTGCTGTTGAAACTTGACAATTGACATGCGTAGTATACATAATTTGTGGAACAATGGCCTGTTTTCCAATTACAGAGCATAATACCGTACTTTGGCGCACAATGTCGAAGTGTGCTAATGCTTAATTGGAACTTGAATTAGTTTTCCATTGCACCAGCAGAGGGCACTAGGTTGAGGCTTGAAAGAAAAAATATAACTAACTAATAAATATATAATAACACATATTATAAATTATAAAATAAATATATAAATAATAAATATATGATAATAAAATAAAATAAAGAAATTACTTACAACAATGTAGTAAGAAAGAAGTTAAGGAAGGAAAAAAAAAGGAAGTTAAGGAGAAAAACAGGGTTTATTGTGGTATTTGCATTTTTTTGCTTATTATGAGCGTATCCATCACAAAAATCCTGTTTATTTTTGTTGATTACAATATATAAAATTACTTTGTATTTTTGTGTTCGTTTTATCTACTTTAATAAAATAAAGATAGTGTGGTCACTAAAAATTATGTCGAAAAATATATAAAAACGTTTCAATTCTATTGCATTCGCTTCATTAAAAAATATCTACCTATAACCATACTAATATTTGGAAAGTGTGCTTGTTTGTTTGTTTGTTTGTCCTTCTTTCACGTCGAGACGAAATGACTGATTGGTGTATTTTTTTGTGTGGAGATAGTTGGAGCGCTGAAGAGTGACATAGGCTACTTTTTACCGCGAGAGATTATATAATTCCCACAGGAAAACATGTTTATAATACAATCCAAAAAAATATTTATGATCAGAATTACTTGAAATTTGGTATTAAATGCTCTAAAAAATTAAATAAATAACTGTATTAGCATTTTTCAAAACTCATCCTATAAGAGGGTAAAATAGGGGATGAAAGTTTGTGTGATACCCTTTTTAGTTTTTACATATATATATTTAGTTTTAGCGCGAGCGAAGCCGCGGGTTCTGCTAGTAAAAAATAAATTAATAAAATTAATGAGGCATATTATTTTACACTAGTATAAAAATGAAATGAAAAATGAATGAATGTTTGAAAATACAATTTTGCAATAATGTATGCTCGCGAGAAACAATGTATATAATTTAAGACGAAAATGAGGTAAAAATATTTGGAAGGTCTACTCCACTCCACTATTATTCATGACATATAAATTTTTATTTGTCAATCCATAAATATAAATCATGGATAACAAATAAAAATATAAATATTAAAAATTACGGATCATTCTACGCGACATTGGCAAAGTAAATTGTCCCCAAAGGCACTCCTAAAAGCCGCAAACATATAGAATTGAAAATGATGGATGACAAATTAAAATCATGAAATGTCATAATCATAGCCATAGAGAACTATCTCTATATGTCATGTAGTAACTAAGTAGGAAAATGTCAGTAGAAATTGTTGAAATTTGTCTTTGTCGAAAATATTATAACATTTATTTTAATTACTTTAAACATGATATAGTACATAAATAGTGTTACATATATTGACATTACACAGTACACTATGCAATAGTTACTGAATAGAAGTGTATTCAAACAAAACTCTTAGTTTTGTTTCTTTTTGTATAATTGAAAAATTCATGATCACGACGGCCCCGATGCCTGATAGCATACAATTTTTAAAGATAACATGTATGACATGTTGTCTGAATTTCGAGTATCAGAATTTGATTCATTTGTGGACATATTAAGATTGTCTCCAGGAGATCCCTTAGATACATTTGGTGAAATGTGGTACCCAGTGTTTCTTTGGTCTTTGTGCTCCTCTGTGTTTGTACATACTTGTGCAGCACTTGTTGCCTTCGGTACTCTTAGAAAGCACAAATATGGAAAATTCTTTCCAGTGTTATTAATAGTGATGGGTGTGGTGAGCCCTGTGACCTCCGGTGTAGCAAGTAGTGCTGCTATTGCGTTTATTTACCGTGCTGCTAATTTAGCTATGCCACCTATACATGCTATGATATGGGGCATAGGGCAGACTTTACTAGGAGCTGGTATTGGATTTACAAGGATTTTAGCTACCTTGTAATAGATTTATTTATTAGTTTTATAACATAGTTTCCCAATCCTTTAAATAAATTTATATACATACAGCTATGTCAATTATCATAGTATAGATAAGTCATAAGTGGTGGAGAGACCTTTGATGGTGCTGATTTTGCATGATTTCTTAATAGGTTTGCAATCAATATTTGTAATCTATAAAGTAAAAAAATACTCATTATAATAAAACTATACTCACATAACAGTGAGATTATGTATACTTACATATATGGTATGCTTAAATGTTAATTGCCCATAAATATATATTGTAAGTAATTATGAGTTAATAAATATTATAAACCATCCATGTATTTCTAGATTGTAATTTTGTAGTTGTGATAGTAAATGTAGAATGGTGGCCAGCAATATATTTATAAAAAAAATAGTTAATTTTCATAGATTTCTCTTTGTAAATACTTAATTTATTTAAGAACTTGACTGAGATTAGAATCAACAAAGTGCTTTTGCAGTGACTTTAATCAATGTTATAAATATGTATGCATTCCATACCAACAATATAATATCCAAACATGTTTATAATTTTTTATACCAAACACTTTGTTGGTCTTATATTTAAAAAGAAGTTGTGTCATAAAAATCTCAAAATAGAATAAAGATAAATGAATTACATTGCATATTTATAAGGTTATCAAAATTTTCATTAGATTTAGAAGACCCACCGATATAATTTCAAATTGCACAGTTATTTGTAAATGTAAAATATTCTAGCTTTAAATTATGTGCAATGTCCTTTTTTGTAAATATTAGACAAAATTACTAAAATTGGCAAAGACATTTTGTGTATATTTAATGTAATTTACATTTGAAGATAAAACTGTGTTTTGTTAATATGTATTTTATATTGTACTTATCAAAAAAGAAGAGTTATTTTTGTTCTCAGATACTAGCTACCTCCATTTTTTAAGCTTCTTTACAGTCAAATATAGATTTGTCATTGAAAACCATGTCATGTATTATATTTAATTCACTTTTAAGTCTGGCTGGATACTTAGAATTTTCTTTTTGTTTATACCTCTGGCCTATATGACAACCCAAACTGAATTAAAAAAAAATGTATTATATAAAGAGTGCATGTAGATAGTTAACAAACATACAATACTAGCAAAAATGTTTGTGTAAATTATGTATATCTGTTAAATTTTATGTATATTATTAAAAAGTATTATAACTTTTGCATTATATATTATAAAGGGGAAGAAATAAACTTGGTTTTCATATATAAAGTATATGGTTATATTTTTTTTTTCAATGACATAAAACTTAATAATATTTTTTAATCAATTTTACTTTATAACAATGTTTAACAATTTTTTATTTACTATTACAAGAAAAATTCAATAATCCATTTATAATAATCTATACATACTGCAATTGTATATCTAGTGATTTTTTTCATAAATTTCATTAAATAATATTTTACCAATAATAATTGTTATCGTCACTTTGCTCACAGTAATATTTTGTAAAGAAGAGTTTTATTTTTAAACTAGCATTGCCCGCGGCTCCGCCCGTGGCTCCGCCCGCGTTCAGATGACCAAAAATCAAATTCTTAGGTTTTTATGTTAGTATAGTATTACATTTCAGTTTTTGTATTTTTTCTCAGAAATAAGATATTTTCCCGCGGTATAAAGTATCCTATATGTGGACCCAGATAACCAGCTATCACCACACCAAATTTCATCAAAATCCCTCCAGTGGCTTTTCTGTGATGCGGTAACAGACAGACAGACAAAAATTCTAAAAACTAGATTAGGCCTCTGTATCGATAATAATGTATATTTCAAAAATAATAATTTTCCAAAAAAATATTTAATGTACAGATTCGACTTAGTTACAATTTTATTATATGTATAGATTATTTTGTATTATGAACTTTTTACCAAATTCAAATACATTATTATGTATTATATATTTATGCTCTCAGACAACAACAGTTAATAACTGTCATACAATTTCTAGTGTACCTACTGTCCAGTGTATAGGTGTCAATTTTTTGCAATAAACACTAGTCTGTGAACAATATGCGGAGCACAAACCGCGTTTTGAGAAGCATTTCTGCTTTATATATGAAGCAATATACTTATGATTTCTGCTCATCAGATCTTGACCAAATTATGAGACCATCTTAAAATTTCTACCTTTCAAATGAAAAAAGTACAATCAAAATCCGATTAAATAAAGCGGAGAGAGAGATTTTTTCGTTTTCAGATTTTAGATCGGAACCCCTCCAATCAAAAAACCCCGACGATAAAAATTCTATAAAGGTGTTAAACTTGTAGTATACCAAGTTTTGTCCAGATCGGTTGTAAAATACGCCCTGTAGAGGAGTACCAACAAACTGACACAGGAAAGCAAATTTTGCTGGACTTAAAGCAGACGCTTAGCTCGCTCAGTCAATTACTAATTTTATAATTTAATGTTACCTTTTATATTTATATATTCGTTTTTCATAAAGTACTACTATGTGAACATTTTGAAAAACTCTTATTAGCAATATGATATCTATCACTATCATCGTCTTCATTACTTAACTCATGAATTGTTTCTTCGAGCATCAATGGAAGTTCCAATTTTTCCCTTGATATTGTGTTCTGAAATTTTTTAAATTAATATTGTTATTATATAATACAAAAGTAGAATAAGAAAGATGTTTTGGCTATTTCTTTTTCACTAATATAATAAACTAGCGGCTCACCCTCGCTTCGCTCGGGTTCACCTCTAGACAAGCACAAACAGATCTATCCCACGGGAACCGTTCATTTTTCTGGAATGATGAATTTTACGGATGAAAAGTAACCTGTTGTTTGATCGGCAATATAAGGTATTAGCATGCCAAATTTTACTAAATTAGGAGGATAAGCTGTTGTGTACTAAGCTGTATAAGTTACTATAGTTTTTTTAACTATCCCACGAAAACTCTTTAATTTTCTGGAATAAAAAGTATCTTAGATGTTGACCGGGGATATAAGGTACTATCATGCAAAATTTCATTTAAATCATTTTAATAGTTTCAGAGATTAGCCCGTACAAACAGACAAACAGACAGAGAAACAAAAAAATTGAAAAAAAAACTGGATTTGTTCTATTTCTCTTCTTTCGGGCTGTAAGAAGAGAACTGACTCGGTTTTTAGCATTTTTTTCTAACCTCTACAGTTTTATTATATGTATAGATAGAATAAATAACGTATAATAATAGTAGGGGAGCCCAAGAGGGGATTTTCTGTAGTTACTCGAGCGCGGCAGATTAACATAAAAGAGGTTACCTTGCACTCTATTGAGTACTTTCACCACAATATAAGTCTTCTATATAAAGGGGCGCGTCTAGGGAAGCCGATTAAAATATTTAAAAAATGTTTTGATAAGGTAGAAATACTTGAAACCGTCAGATTAAGGTGGTTTTTGCCTCTTCGGCTTGTGCAAATCGGCAGATTATTGAATTGGACACTTTTCAGGATGTGACTAGCCTACCACACCTTAATCTGACGGTTTCAAGTATTTCTACCTTATCAAAACATTTTTTAAATATTTTAATCGGCTTCCCTAGACGCGCCCCTTTATATAGGCGACTTATATTATGGTGAAAGTACTCAATAGAGTGCAAGGTAAACTCTTTTATGTTAATCTGCCGCGCTCGAGTAACTACAGAAAATCCCCTCTTGGGCTCCCCTACTATAAAACAGTAATATATAATAATGAAAATAGTTATAGCGAGTGTACCTTAGGAGATAGACATATATTATGTAGAACTTTTCTATAGATCTTTTTAAGACTTACCATTTTCTTGCACAATATTTTGATCTATCTCTTAAGGTTGAGCCAACGTTAACCATATAAATTTCTAAGGACGATTCGATAGAACCAGTTATTGTGTTTTCCCGTGGGAATGTATAATTTGCCTGTCGTAAAAGGTATCCTAAATGTTGACCCGAGTACTAAGTTTTATCACTATACAAAATTTAGTTAAAATCGGTTGAGTACTTTTTGCGTGAAACGCGCACATCGATTTGACTAAGTTAGTTTAATTATACGTATAAATAAGAATAAATATTGCAAGTGTAACATAGGAGATAAACATATACAATTCGGAACTTTTCTGTAGGACTTTTCAAGACCAACAATTTTTTAGTATATTGTTTCAATGTATGTATGTCTTAAGGCTTTGCCAGCGGAAGGATTCTAGGGAGGACTCGATAAAACCAGTTATTGTATTTTCCCGTGGGAAAGAAAGATTTTCTTGAAGTAAAAGGTATCTAGGCAGTGGTATCCCAGTGGTAACGCGCTCGCTTGGGAAACCGAGTGAAGCAAGTTCAAATCCCGGGTCTCGCACCTCTGATATTTTCATGTGCGAATCATTTCTAACACAATTACCACTTGTATTAACGATGAAGTAAAACATTGTGAGGAAACCTGCATGTCTGAGAGAACCTAGCAAGTTTTCAAAAGACATGTGAAGTTCGCCAACCCGCACTTGGCCAACGTGGTGGACTATGGCCTGATCCCCCTCGTATATAAGGGAGCCCGTGCCCAGCAGTGGGACGTTAAAAAGGGCTGAATACATACATATATAAATACATACATACATACAAAAGGTACCCTTAATGTTAGCACGAGTAATAAGTTATCATTTCACCAAATTTCGTTGAAATCGGTACATTACTTTTCGCGTGAAACGCTCACGCAAAAACAGACAAACAGACATACAGACAAACAGACAATTTTTTTAATAACTATTGTTTTGGGGTCTATGTTGTGAACATAATACGTTACAAATAAACAAAAACATCTATCCCACGGAAACAGTACATTTTTCCGGAATAAAAAGTAACCTATTTGTTATTCTGATGTATGGACTATATATATTATTGTAAAGTTTCATCAAAATCCAATCAGTAGTTTTTGTGTACTAAGCTGTATAAGTTGCTATAGTTTTTTAACTATCCCACGGGAACTCTTTAATTTTCCGGGATGAAAAGTATCTAAGATGTTGCCCGGGGATATAAGGTACCACCATGCATAATTTCATTTAAATCGGTTTAATAGATTCGGAGATTAGGCCGTACAAACAGAAAAACAGACAACAGCTCGCTCGGGTTCGTCCATACCTACGAATATGTTGTATTATCTCTTTAACCCTTTGTCCAAATTATATGCAGTAAAAGGGAAAAGTCTTTTGTTTTAAACATTTTAGACGATAAATTTACTTATTTTTATAAGAATTCATAATTGTTGATAATATGACCAATAAACATGACCTACCGATTTAAATTATTTTTTAATATAAAAAACTACTTTTTGTGACTTAAATATAAAAGTTAGACATATGCTGTCGCTGACTTTTTTGTAGGCATTATTAAGCTCTACAACTTTTCTCTAGAACATAATCATATATCTCTCATCGTTAAGGCAGCGTTCATAAGAAACTTTTTCGTTCGACCGTTTTTTCTCCGACTTACTTTGCAAATCCGACTACCACGAAAAAGCCTTTTAATTTTTTGGTTAATATATAGCCTATGACACTCAGAAAGAACGTGGCTTTCTATTGGTAAAAGAATTTTGAAAATCGGTTCAGTAGATCCAGAGATTACCCCCTACAACGTCACAAACTCACAAGATCACAAACTTTACCTCTTTATAATATTATTAGTATAGACAAAAACCTAGTAAAGTATTTAGTTTTACCTCTTCAATATTTGTATTTCTGCTGCTTGAAAGTCTGTTGACATGCTCATGTAAAGATTGAGTTTCATTTGTAGCATCCTGTAATGCTAACTTCAGTTCCACTATTTCTCTCCTGGCATTTGATAACAATTTTTCTGAAGTCTTTAAATTATCTTTTAGCTCTTCCTTCTCCAATTCCAATGTAGCTTTTGAACTTGAAAGTGTTTTAATTCTATTTTCATATAATTTTAACTCTGAATCAGTATTAGTCACAGTCAAAGCATTGATTTTTTCATTTGACTGTAAATTGTTGCACATTTGTTTAAGGTATGATACATTTTGTGCAAGGATATTTTTCTCTTCTGTTATCAGTTTGATTTCATTTTGTAATGAGCTTATTTTACATGTCATTGCTGCTATGCGAGCTGATTGACTATCAATTATGTTGTCTTTGTCAATGAGTTTTTCTTCTAAACTCTGAATTTTATTGACATATGTCTGTAATTGTTGGGTTTTCGAAGCTGACTCACTCTCTAAAGAATGGTTGTTATTTTCCAATATATTTGCTTCTACAGAAAGACTTGCAAATTGTTCTAGCATATCAGACCTTTCTGCTTCCTTTTGTGACAGAAGATCTTCAATCCTTCTTATTTCTGCTACATAATGTTGCAACTGCTGTTTGAGCCCATCCACATCTTTTCTGGATTTTTCCAATTCAATTTTAGTCAATTTTAAAACTCCATTAGCATCAGTTAGGCTACTTTGTAAATGTTTATTTTCTATTATTGCAGTGTCATATTGGTTAGTTATTCTTAATACTTCTCCATTCAGGAAAGTAATTTGTGACTCATAATCTACTAATTTATGTTCATTAACTTTACTTAGATTGAGTTGTCTTTTCAGCTCACAAATTTCATTTTCTAATTTACTAATATCATATGTTTGTGATTTGAGTTTCTGCTCCAGAACAGCAATATTTTCAGTTTTATGATCCAAATCTATAACCAATTTATCTCGTTCTTTGTCTATAGCTTTAATGCTGTCTATTAAATTTAATTTTTCATTTCTTAATTTAATTATTTCAGATTGTAACTCTTGACATTTCTTTTCTAAATTGTCAATGCTTGCTTTAGACATACTTAGCTTCTTTTGAGCAGATAAAAGTTCAGATTGTACCTCTGCACTACTTCTCTCAGTTTCTAGTTGTATATTCTTAATTTGATTGGCTAATGTTTTTTCTCTTATAAATTCTGTTTGCATTTTCTTTATCTGTTCTCTTAAGAAGTTGCACTCATCTTTTAATTGATCAACAGATGCTTTTTCTGTCCTATTAGTCATTTTATAAGAACAGTTTTCTTCTTCTAATTGTTCTAGTTCTCTCTGTTTATATGCTAAATCTCTTTTTAACTTATCAACTAATTCCAACGCTTCTTTGCATCTTAAATTATATTCCTGTTTGTCTTTCTTTAACAACTGTATTTCATGTGTCATTTCTTCAATTCTCTCATTAAGTCTTTGAACATTTCCTTTATCTCTATCACTCCTGTCATGAGATGATAAATTGAGAGCTTTGTACTGGCTCAATTTTTGACTTAAAGATATGTTTTCCTTAGACAATTCAGAATTTTCAGTGTTTAAATGGCTAATTATATTCTGATAACTACTTTTATTATTATCATTTACTTGAATTGCTTTATGTTTCAATTCCTCATTTTCTTTTCTTAACATAAGTATTTTTTGCTCACTTTCACATAATCTTGTATGTAGATCTCTTATAAAGGCATTATCAGACGAAACACTTGAAGAGGTCTGATTAGATTCTTTTTGTGTATACACATTTTTACTAAAGAGACTCAGAGTTTCTGATAACTTTTCTTGAATATTTAAAATGTATGTTTCATATTTTCTTTTCTCTTCTTCAAAAAGTTGTTTTAATTCATCTTTTATATGACATTTTGAATTATTTTTAACATATTCATTTTCTACACTGAATCTATCTTTGAAACATTTATTTACTTCAGATAATGATAGTATTTTTTCCTGTAAGCTTTGGTTGAGCTCCACTAATTTTTTTATTTCTTGTTGTAAGGTCTCTTTTTCTTTGAGAACTACATTTAAGGACTGTTGGACTATTGGTGAAGTTTCCTTAGAATATTTTTGTGACAATTCTCTCTCCAATTCTGAATTTTTTATAGTTAATCCTTCAATTCTAGTTTGCATAAAATTTAAATCATTCATCATTGTTGCTAACCTTTTGTTACAATCTTCTTCTACTTTTAATGCTAATTTATCAACTTTTTGTAATTCTTCTTGTAATTTTTTATTCTTATCAGCTAAAGATAAAGCACGGAGCATTGCTTCATGCTGTTTATCTAAACTTTTTTCTAACTCTTTTTTAATGTCATCATTAGCTCTTTCAAGTTCTTTTATTTGTTTTAACAATCTTTGTATCTTTACATCTGGTGTATCATTATAAAAGTCTTTGTGAACTGCTACCAATGGCCTACCACCATCCAGAAGCATATTTAATCTTACAATTTCCTTATTTCTGTTTTCTATTTGGTTTTTTAACATTTCAATTTCATCACTATATTCACAATTCTTTTCTTGCAGTGATTGTATTGTTCTATTTAATTCTGCCAATTTTTGATCAGTTGATAAACTTTTTTCAGTACAAAGACAATTTTTAGACATATAAAAGTCCCCTCCATCTTTCCTTTTGCTCTTGTTTCGACTGCTTTGAGTATCGGCACAAAGACCTCTTAAACTTAAATCTCTTATATCATGTTGTAGCTTGCTGATCAATGATTCTTTTTTACTAATTTCGTCATTTAAAGAGTTGACGCGTCGTTTACATTCCTTACTTAATTTAAAATTATCTTCTTTTAGTTGCATAATTTCACTGTGAAGTTTATTATTCTCTTGAATGAGTTTCATATTATCACATTTGTAAGGCTCTGCTTCCATCATCAATGCTTCTTTTTGTAGAAGGGCTTCTTTAGATAAATCCATATAATGTTGTAAGCTACGTGTAGTTTGCAATAGATCAGCGAGCACACATTCTACGAGCGGAACAGCATCTATTGGAAGTATATTATTATAGCCCAATTCTTCCAGTTTACTTTTTAAGTTAAAATATGCCTCACCCATTTTAAAAAACGATATTAGATGGTTAGATTCTTCGTTTAATGAATTTACTTTTTTAAAAAAGTATAAAAAGTCCGTAAGTAGGTGCTGAATTCATATTTTAACACAAAAATATTTAGTTCATAATAAATAAGAATCAGTAAAAAGTTTATTAGACTTTCAAAATTTGAATTTAATATTTATGTTTTGACTTTTGAATTTTGACAAGTCCACTTGGTGTTGGTGACTTGAGGTGTATTTAGAATCACAAGCTGTACCTTGTTTTCCAACTACAGAGCACAATGCCGCACTTTGGCGCACAAACACGAACAACCCGAAAAACACCTGCTACTGAGTGTGTAAGTTGCACGCCAAAGCAGTTCTTTTCAAAGTGCTCGATTGTACGGAGCGCTGCTGTAGCCTGTAGATGAAAGTTGAAACATTCGAAGTTAAGCATTATGATGCTTTAGTACTGTAAATAGAAAACTACTTTTAACTACTAGTTGAGATTTCCGAATCCGAAGCTTGCACATGTGAAATTCAAATAATATGTAGGTACATATTTAAAATTCTTTATCTGTGTTCACTCTTTTTTCGATACTCTGTCTACGTTTATTATTCATCTATGTTTTTTCAATAACATACGAAAATATAGTGAAATACTAACTTCAACTTCTAAATATTATGTTTTTTTAGAATGTAATATTGTTATTCTTCCAGAGTTTGAGTCTTGTTACTTGTTTTAACATGAGTGCGTAACGGTGGTAAAATGAATCCATATAAAGATGTAGAAGATAGTACTTTTACTGCAGCTCCTAATCTGGCGTACGAAGATATAGCTACAAAATTATTGAAAGATAATTTCTTCCTAACTGCCTTAGAATTACACACAGAACTTGTGGAAAGCGGTAAAGAGCTACCACAGCTCAGAGAATTTTTTTCGAATCCTGGAAATTTTGAACAACATGTATCAAGAGCTGCAGATTTTAGTTCAATACGTAAGTACCTAATTGTTGTCTATTTTGGTTTGAAGTATGTTTGGCCAATACTAATATATACACACTATTTTTAGATCGTTCACCAAGTCAAGCAACATTAGATTCATTAGACACTGCAAGATATTCCGAAGATGGAGGTGGAGATCGTGGTGGAAGTGGCGGTGATGTCGCTGTTCTTGAGTTTGAATTGCGAAAGGCTCGTGAGACTATTAACGCTCTGCGTGCCAATCTTACTCAATTTGCTGGTAAATTTTAATATTATTTGATATTAAAATTAAGAGAATCTTATTTTTTTTTGTCTAGAAAAATAGCAATCCGTATAAACATCTTCCTATAAAAATTATTATTTCCATAAGTATTGTTCAAGTTTTACTAAAATGAATAGGCATGTATGGATGGATCATTATCATATCATCTACTGTATGTAATAAGCCGTTCTTAACATTACACTGCTTGAACCATCCTTTAAAATGAGTGCTGGCTAAGTGCAGGTTGGCGAACTTTTCTTGTCTTTCGAAAACTTGCTAGTTCTTTCAGACATGTAGGCTTCCTCACAATGTTTTCCTTCACCTGTTAGAAAAGTGATAATCATGCTGAAAATAATTTGAAGATGAAAATATCAGAGGTAAAAGATCTGAGATTTGACCCACACCATCAAATGTGCTACTACTGTACTGCCACTGCCTTACCTATAATGTGTGTAATATATATTATTTATTCCAGACGGGGAATCAAATCATGATAAAACATCTAAAGAAAATTTTAATCAAAGGTCATTGATGCCTCATGAGAAAAGAGCACTTAATTTTTTGATTAATGAGTATCTACTACTGCAAAACTATAAATTGACAAGTATTACATTTTCAGATGAAAATCCAGATCAGGTTGGTTGGTTATCTTACTTAATTAGTAGATTTTTTTGAAATTTATACCTTTCTGCCATTACCTATTATATCAATAACTTATTATGTATAATAGATTTTTTCTAATTTCTAGTGTCTGTCTTTATCATTATACTTCTATATTTATATGTTTTAATGGGCATTGTCATATTTGAAATCTCTTAGACAGACTCCAACTTTGACTTGAGTCTTCATAAAAATGTGTTAAAGCTTTGAAGTTCAGAAATGCAGAAAGTAAAAGTACACAAAGAAAACATTAGTTTAAATATTGAAAAAATGTTTTTTGTATGTTTAAATTTTATGTTGTAGAATAATTATAATTTTATAAAATACTATTTGAATTTAATAATATTGATAGGTTAAGATCCTTGAATCATTTTTTACTCCTGCTTATGTATATCAAAAAAAAGAACCTTTTCAAGTACTGTAAAGAATTAGATTAAAATAAAAAAAATAGTTGTAATTGTATACATGTAATTTTTTTTAAACTTTGGATTATTTTGTTAAGTTTAAAATAGCCCTGTCATATTAATAAGTATAAATTACTGACAACACAGAAATGTGACTTCTTAGTCATACATACTAATTTGTTTTTTTAGATTATTTTAAAATTTTGTCATGTTATGGCCTTAAGTAATAAATATCAGTCATGAAAAATTATCCCCTGTCACATTTTGATACCATCCAGTAAAGGGTTGAAAGTAAAAGTTTTTAAATTCTCTTGTATGTACAAAAATTAGTGATTTGTAAAATGATTGTTGATCACCAAATCAGAACCATAAGCATTAGTGCAAAGTGATCTTTATGTTCATCATTATAAGCCATACTAATATTATAAATGTGTTTGTTTGTTTGTGTGTTTGTCTGTGTGTTTGTTTGTCTTTCTTTCACGTCGAAACAGAGTGACGGATTGGCGTAATTTACTTTTTACTGCGGGAGGTCATCTCATTCCCACGGGAAAACACGTTATACGATACAAAAATTGATTTCTGATCAGAATTATTTGAAACTTAATGCTCTTCAGTACAATAAAATAAAAAAGTTTTTACATTTTTCGAAATTCATTTTATAAGGGTGTAAAACAGGGGATGAAAGTTTGTATAAGACCTAGGAACCTACCTTTTTAGAGATTTTTTAAAGTTTTAGCGCGAGCGAAGCCGCGGGTTCTGCTAGTCAAATATATTGATGATAAAAATAATAGGAATCTAATTTTGAATTCAGTGGCAAATACAAGAAAGTGGTAGTATGTAGTAAATTTTAATATTTGATATTAAATTTAAATGTTACAATTTATACATACAATTAACAGAATCTTATTTCTTTATATTTAGAAAAATAGCAACCCTCATGAATCTTCCTATAAATATTATTTTCATAAGTATTGCTTAAATTATTACTAAAATGAAATGGCATTTTATAGATGGATTATCATCATATCTATCATCTACTGTATTTTTTTTTAGGAATTTGAAGATTGGGATGATGTTGGCTTAAATATGCCGAGGCCCGCAAGTTTAATATCTCTGTTTTGGGGAAGCACAAGCAATGTAAATATACCAAAAGTGGATGCTGTTACGCAAACTGATATATTGCATGCTACTATTGGATGTCAAACAGATTTTGATGAAGGAAATGTATGTGTGAGTTGTCAAACATCATTAGACCATGATACAGAATGGAATCATGAGGTGATTAACTTTAACATTTGTCTGTTTACTAACAATTGCTTATTGTTGTACATGTTTCTTAATCAGCTTAATAATTAATATGTTGCCATATTTATATTATCCAACTGTTTTTTTGGGTTTTCCTCATATATTCTTTATACTTAAATCATGCCTGATACACTCCCAACAAAACACAAAAAGAATTATTGGAATTGGTGCAGCCGTTTTTGAGTTTTAGTAAGGCTAACGAACAGCAATTGATTTATATGTATATAGATTTGATCAAATCAAAATATACTTTATTCAAATGGACTTTTACAAGCAATTTTGAATCATCAATTTTACATTTTAAATTTAAATTAAATCTCAGTGTAGTCAGTCCGTGAGGAATCTACCATCGCTACATGACTATAACCATATTCAAAGTTCATATTTAATATTCTAAGTTATTCTTTTTAAAAGTCAGTTTCTATACCTTCTTTTGGGTCTCTGTTTTTTGTGGATTGTGCATTTATGCAATCAATATTGTTTATATTGGCTTGTGCTACTCCACTAAAATAATTAATATATGAACTTTTATTAACTTGTTAATTTACTACTTTCTTTCTTATTTCATACTAGCGATTCGCCCTCGCTCCGCTCGTGTTCGTCCCTAGTTACATTTTAACGTTTACTATATATTTCTCAGAGATATTTTCCCGCAGTAAAAAGTATTATGTTGACTCGGATAACCAGCTATCATCATACCAAGTTTCATCAAAATCTGTCCGGTGGTGTTCTCGTGATGCGGTCACAGACAGACAAAAATTCTTAAAATTCTGTATTCGGCCTCTGTATCGATAATAAAATTTACCAAAAAATATTTAATGTCAGAATGTCGACGAATGAAATGTCGACTCAGTTAGAATTTTATTATATGTATAGATAAATATTTCATAATAATCTATAACATTTTTTCTAATATATATAATATATGTATAGTAATGAGAATAAAATGATAACTGCAAAAACACTTAACTAATTAACATTTTATTCTCATTATTTTTAACAGATTGTGAGTATTGCATTACTGTTTTACAGTAATATTTAATACAGACACACACAGAATAATACAGACTAAACAATATCACTTGGCATTCTATTCTATATATCTACTATTTACTAAGAACATGTTAGTCGCCGAGCCTAAGCTGATTTTTACGAGAGCAAAATGACAATAGCGTTCACAATTATTTCGCTGCCTTGTTTTTCGAGAATATTATTGCAAAAGTTTTTGTTGTATCTTTAATGAAGAAACGGTTTCACTAACTTCATATAATATTTTTTTTAAGAAACCTTGTGTGTTTGAAAGGGTGACGAAAATGATTCCATTATTCTATAACTTTTTGAATAATGGCTGGATATTCACGAAAAAAATTGGGTAGATATATTAGGCACCGTAGACTTCAAATATGGGTTATCACTAAAACTATGGTAATATCAGTAATCATTTTATTCTCCGGGGACGGCGATATATAACAAGAGTTAGTCTAAATAACAAAATATAATTGTAAAAATAAAACATATGTGGGTTTCTTAATTTCTTTATATGTTTAAAAATGCATATAACAAAATTTCAGCTCTCTATGGTATAATTAAAATGAATAAAGCAATTATAAAAATCTCAGTGACACAAAATAGCGGAGATATTCCTTTATTGTTTACAGCTCCTCATTCAAGCTGAAGAAATAGAATTGTTGAAACAGAAGATAATAGCTTTAGAAACAGAAAAGTTGAACTTCCAAAAATTATATGATGCCGCAATAGTGAGTCTAAATTCTTTGACGAGTCCTGCATCTGAAAGTAAAGGACTCGAGCTGCATATACCCAGTGATAAGCTACTCAGTGTACAATCAAAATTGGAGCAGTCAAATGACAAACCAATAACTTGTACTGCATCTGAAAATCACTATGGCAGCGGTCATTCTACACACAGTGCAACACCAGAGCAGTTTGAAATGATATACAGTGATAAGAATAATGGCTTGTAAGTAAGAGTTGATAAGTTTAATAAGTTTACTAGTTTCGTTTTCTCAGTATAAATCTGTATGTGTCTATCATTGCTAATATTAGATTATAGTACAATTACTTGTTTCTATCTTTATTTTCAAGAAGATTTTTATCAATATTTCTGTTTAGATACTCTTTAACTTTTATGTGGCTATTGGTGTATTAAACATAAACATTTGGTGAATTTTGATTGAACGTTTCTATTGTTGCATTTTTGACTCATTAACATTTGTATGTATTTCAATCGATTCAATAGATAAAGAGTAACATGAGCTGTTCCCTTTTTGCACATAACAAGCAACTTCAATCAATGAAGGCAATTAAAAATATTATTAGAAGTTGCTTTACATAAACACTTATTTACTTTATCGTGAATCTCTTGGATATCTATCTGCAAGCTGTAAGTGATTTTTTTCATTGCCAATATGTAAAGATAGGATTGATTTTCAGGGTTAAAAAGGATGGTTCTATCAATAGTAATTTCGAGCCGGCGTTGGTGGACAGCGTGCGAGGCTCGCCCTGCCGCCGCGCCAGCGTCACCACGCTCGACGAGACTCTCAGCATAAACGACGCCGGCGAATGGACGCGCGTACAATATGAATATAATAGCATCGAGAACAGCAAGGAGATGTGGATCGATAGGTGAGAATAATTATACAAGGCGATGCGTAAAAGTAAGCCGTATCCCATCGGCTTACGTTTGTATATTAAGTAATTATTTTTAAATGATTAAAAATAACTTTTGGTTTCCATGTTTATTAGTCACCATTTCCAACTCAGTTTGGAGTAGCACTAGTTTTGACATGAAAATAATATTATTTAATGAATAGAGCTAATATTGAAAAGTTATTCAGATATTCAAACTGGCTGACCAGATTACTTGTGTTAAAATTTCTCCAATCGTCACAAATATAATGCCATACAAGGGCATGCCTAAATAAATAACAATGTCTAAATATAATAAAATACGTAATAGTATGGCCCTCTTACATATATATAATTATTTTGAAAGTATGCCATTAATTTTTATTTCAATCAAATTTCTTTTAATTTGCAGTGGTTTACCGAGCAGTTTAAAGGAATCTTTATTATCGTGGTGCTACGAAACTTCGGACCTCAACGAGCCGTTAACAAATGATCTTCTCTTAGATCTAGTGAACAGTAAACAACCCATCACATTGTCCGGGTTGCTGCCGTTAGTTGCAGACACTTTGCCCAGAGTGAGTTATAACAATTATTAACATTGATTAACTGTTACCTTGGTTTTTTGTTTTGCTACAATCTCCTTATAGAATAGCATTAAGAATCCTCTTCTAATCCATACACTCGTCTAACTAATTAAGTTGAATGGCATAAATATCAAAATTTAAGTTTTTACTAAAAAACAAATTTGACATTACAATTTTAACTTTAAGGCCGGCCGCATATTATAAGGATTTTTTCTGTCAGAAAATACCTGACGCACGCCAGAAGGTACTTTGCTCATATGTCTCTCTAGATCCGGTATATTATCAGAATGCTGACGTGTCCGTTTCTGATGAATCGCGGGTGCCGCCCATCAGACGTCAGATTTTTTTTAATCAGAACGTCGGAGGGAGTGTTCTCTATACATTTTGTACTAGACCCCGCGCACTTTCAGAAATTCGCATTCAGACTCGCTGGCACGAAGTTTCTGATAGGTGTGTGGTAGAAAAAAATCTTATAATATGCATAGAAAAAATCTTATAATATGCAGCTGGCCTTAAAGGTAAAATGCAAAAAAATAACAGCAATGTCAAATTTCTTTTTTATTAAAAACTTAAATTTCGATATTTATGCCCTTCGGCTTAATTATTTAGACGATTGTATATGGATTAGTACTTAGTAGAGTGTGTGAATGGCAGGTGTTGCCGCACACGCTGGTGGCGCGGCGCGGCGAGGCGGCGGCGCTGCTGGCGGCGGCGGCGGCGCTGCTGGCGCCCGGCGCCGCGCGCCGCGCCCGCCTGCTGCACGCGCTGCTCACGCTCTACAAGAAGCCCGACCCGCCCGACGCCAGAGCGGTGTGCGAAGGTGTGTCACTCATTTTATTGTACTTTTTCAGCGTTAGAAAATGTGTTTACGGACTGACTAGAAAAGCCAGTATTAAAACTAAAACCGAACGGCACAAATCCAGTCCCAATAGGGCGCCACAGGATCACTTACGCACTCAACTGGAGTTGCTCCCACGGTCCACTACGGCGTACGGTGGATGCGGATTGTTCCTACCCTATTGTAACAACCCGCATGGTATGCTTTGTGTTCCCCAAGTGCGTTTCTTGTCTTCACACCCAGTTGGATTGCCGGAAGCTGGCTTATTAGCTTCCGACACCACTACAACTTGGTAAACACACCTCGGGGATACCCCATCGAATCTTAGTTATGTTGGGTTAACCTCAGACCACGTCTTTATACCGTATGACCTTATCCCCTTTGTTTGCCACAAATAAAATATTATTGTTAAAAGCGATTTCAAAATATTAGCGTATAGAGTATAAACTTAATTAAGTTTCATGTATCATTAATAAAAAATATTCTAAATTATGTTTCCACTGTATTAACAATTCACTTTGCCCAAATCTTAATAAAAACTTGCGCTCTTACTAACTCTAATTCCATGGCGAATGGATGAAAAGAGTACACCGTTTATAATATCACACTCTAGAATCATCATCAGGTATTCAACAAATCTCATTTTCGACCACTCCTGTTGTTAAAACAATTATATTTTTACTTTTAGCAACCTGTTTAGTAGTGAAATGGGGTGGAAGCGGTGAAGTGCTATCGTCTATAGCCGAACTATTGGCGTCCCGAACTCCAGAGAGACGTATACTTGCAAGTCAAATCTGCCTTTCAGTAGCTCCATATGTGCCCTTAGAATTGTGTACATCACTTTTACTAAGTTTAGTGGTGCTGATGTGTGAGTCCAGCGAGCCAGAGATACGAAGTATTGGGCTAAAGTCAGCCTGTCTCATATGTCCGGTCTGTGACCACAAGTATGCCCAGTTGGAAAATATATTGTTTCACTTCCTCAAGGACCCAGTGGATAGAATTGTGAAGGATGGTGTGTGTGTCTTTGTGCCGGTGCTTGCTAGAAGTGCTCTTATTGCTGGTAAATATTATTTTCTTTTTATTTATATACACTTGAGAAAATATTAATATCGTCTATAGTTATTATTCTGTTCTTTCATTCTTATTAAAATAGATATACTTAATCATGACGTATTCATTTATAAAATAAAAATGGTTATCTTTTTTTCTTTTCATTTTCTGTATTGTTCTTGTGTGTGTATATTAAAGTATTTATAAATAAAAAAAATATCGTTGGTAAACGCATCACTTGGGAACGGCTGGACTGCTTTGGCTAATTTTGAAAAAGAAATTGAGAATTGCCCGGACAATTTTGATATTTGAAAGAAACTGCTTTTTCTATAGAACATTTGAATGACTTTAAAATCGATAAGAATAATTTAAAATGGGAACATGATTTCTATTGGGTCAGCTAGTAAATTATAAATTTAATAAACATGTAATCTACAAACTCTCCCAAAAAATACACAGAACAAATGGAGTACATATATTATGTACTTAATAAAAATTCATACTCACCATACTTGACCCGCGCGTCATAAGACATGGATATTGGATAATGCTATATTACATATAATCCACTAATGGTCAATTACATATTTCAGCCTCGGCTAACAGAACTAAAACATTAATAATAATGACTCATGCAATACTAATTTTGAAATATCTCTTAGAATTTTAGAATTTAACAAAAATCACATTATTTAAGTGAGTAATGTTTTTGTTTCTAGGAAAATTCTCATCAGATTTATACAATAGGGTAATGAGCAATTTAATCACCGCCAGCACAGATAATGAATGGAAAACCGTTTTATTATATTTAGATGTGATCCAAGCTTTAGTTTTAGCGCAATTGGCCTATGTAATTAATGTACAAATAGTTAAGGATATAAACCTGAATAACTGTGATATGGAAACTATTAACCTGCAAGAAGTGCCGAGTAAGAAGTTTATAGATATACAATGTTATATGACTGATGATGTCAATGCGAAGATTATATTAGCGGCTATGAACAGCTTGTTGAAAGAGAACCCAGATGTCAGATGGCCGGAGTTAGATTGGTTTGTTAATATGTAAGTATTCATTTTAGTTTATTTTAAGTATATGCTGGTGCTTCACTATGTGCTGTTTACTTTATGTAATGAGATAAAAAGTTTTTGTCACTGCTTAGCCTATATACTGTCTCTAGGTACAAAAATTCATCGATATTGTTTCCATTAGCTGCATGAAAAATCGACAAACTAATTTTATATTAATATTTATACATATAATAAAATTGTAACTTAGAAAAATCTGTACATAAAATATTTATTAAAAACAATGACTGTAACATATTGTGTACAGAATATAGACCTCAAAACAATAGTTATTCAAACGTATTTACGTTATTATTACATCTGTTTGTGTGTGCTCGTTTCAGGCAAAAGGTACTGAACCGATTTTAACGAAATTTTGTGTAGTTATAACTTATTTAGGATAACTTAAACTACAGGAAAATCTTTGATTCCCACGGGAAAACACAATAGCTGGTTCTATCGAGTCGTCCTTCGAAATATATATGTCTATCTAAAATATGCTAGAAAATTATATAGGTCTAAAAAAGGTCTACAGGAAAGTCCGCAATAACATGTGTCTATCTCTTAAGTTACACTCTCAATAACTATTTAAAAGGTATATAGTATATACCTAAGGTAAAGTTTTCATAGGTACTTTTGATGATATTCTTTTATGTATTTACCTTTAAGTTCCAGTACAATGAATTATTTTGTACTATTTTTATATTGTATATATAATATGTTAATAAGTGTTGTTTTATATTTCAGTATTAAACAAATTCTAGATAGCGCAACAAAGAGCAAAGCGTTAAATCATCACGCAATATACGAGCAGCTTATAACATTATTCAATAGTTACTTAGACAATTTTGGTCTCGAATTTTCTTTGAAAATATTAAATCCTATCTTCGTTGAGATTATTATGGACTTAGAGAATAAGTTAGAGAAACTACATGCAATAAATGTAGATAGTGTTGTGATTGTTGGTATTTATTTAACTACGATGCTAGTTACCGTCGAGGATAGTGCGCAGCATGGAGAGTTTTTGCAAAAGTGAGTCTTTTTTACTTTATATACTAGCAACTCACCCTCCGTGCTTTCCTAGCTTGTTTCCCAATACAAACTTTCATCCCCATTTTCACCCCCTTAAGGAATGATTTCCGGGATAAAAAGTATCCTATGTCCTTCCCATGGTCTCAAACTATCTTCTTACCAAATTTCATCTAAATCGTTTTAGTAGATCCAGAGACTATCCCCTACAACGTTAACAAATTCACATTCTCAGAAACTTTACCTCTTTATAATATTAGTATACATATAGATATAAAGCAAAGTCGGGTTTGTCACAACAACACTTGTAATTCGAGAACTGCTGGACTGATTTTCATGGTTTTTGATTTGGTGAATTTGTCTCTACTTCGAATAGCAGAATAACTACTAAAACATCAGAAAAACCCACCCAAAAAATTATATTAAAATTTATATGACTATTTAAAGCTATCTACAAGGTACCTAGGGAACGAACCCGATCGAAGCGATGTTAAGCCGCTAGTAAATCATATTTCAATGTTAGAATGACAAAAATGTCATAAAAGCATAAATGATTTAATAAAGCTGTGGTCAGACTTTATTTTTAATAATATATCTATGATTGATTTTTAGATTCGCTCTGTCAATAAAATTAAAAATGTTAATTATAAAATAGAGAAATTTAATGTAATTCAACATTGGATTCATTTTATGGGTTTCATTAAAGAAAAGCTGTTTACAAATTTAATTAAAATGTTATTTGGATCATTAGGAAAGGATGACAGCTGACTTTGAAGACGCTAAGGAGAGGATAAAATAAGTGATTTTTCTTGTGGTTATTTATTTAATTATTTTTTTTTACAGATGGGTTGTGTACAGTAGTATAAGAAGTCTTCCAACCAAAATATTATCCATTCCATTTAAATGGCTCTCGAAACATCGACCAGATGTTCTCAATTTCTTCTTACAACATCTAAGAGAATGTAAGCACATTTTAATATGAGTATTAAAATTATAAATACATATTGCAATAAGTAATCGTACCATAATGTTAGTTCGTCTCATTGATAAGTACAGCAGTTTTAGTATTTATTGACGACACGTTTGGCTCAGTTTGTAGTCACCCTAGTTGATGTGCTAGAGGTTGCGGGTTGAAATCCCGCTGTGTGCATACATTTGTGTGATGAGCATGAATGTTTGTACTCCAGCCATGGGTATTTATATTTATAATGTATATGTATTTAAAGTTATATATGTGTAGTGGATACACTACAGTTGATAAATTATCTGGTATCCGAAACGTAAGCCTCATAGCATACCATGTAACTAGATGGTGCTGCGTGTTAATGTCCTAATATATTTCATTATTTTTAAGGGTAATTATAAATAAGTTTAATTCCATTTATTTCATGTTATAACATATTTATTAAAAGAATTATAATTGAGATCAAAATTAGGTAGTTGTAACACCATTAACCAATAATTTATATCTCATAAAAAGTTTGTCACTTGATTTGGTGGCGTCAACTTTCCAATTGAATAAATTGTCTTTACGTGATTTATATATATTATCTCTGCCTCGGTGGTGTAGTGGCTAGCATGTACGGCTGCACACCCGGAGGTCCTGGGTTCGAGTCCCGGGTCGGGCCAAGTTTAGTTCTAGTTATTAGTCTTTCTGTATAAGTAATCCTCGATCGTGCGCCTAAACTCTCACTGGTCGTGTCTCGTGTCGTCCCACCGGAGTATGAGAGTGACAGTGATAGAGAGTGCACGTTGTGTCTGCGCGTACACTTGTGCACTATAATATCTCCTGCGCAGTTGGCTAGTCTCAATGAGATTGGCCGCCGTGGCCGGAATCGGTCGGGAGAACATTATATATTAACTAAAAATATATTTCAAATACTTGTATTAACAGTTTCAGCGAGCAGCTGCGACAGCTCGAGTGGCAGTGCAATACGAGTGTACATCGCGAGTCTGCTCACCGAGCTGCTGAACACGGCGGACGTGGACGACGACTGCGTCGAGCGGCAGCTGCTGCCGGCCATCGTCGCTTTGTTGTACGATGATGATGTGTGAGTCACTTTGAATTTGTGTTTATTGACTATATTATTTATAGTATTGAAAGTATAGCTCAATTATCATAATTTAGTTTAAATTTCTTTTGCTATGGATTTATATTAGCTATAAAGTAGGTTTGCCTTTGATTTTAACAGAAATCACCAATTTTCATGGCGAACGATTTAGAAGTTAAAACACCAGTAACACGCGCCCCAAAACTGTTTCCCGATTTTCATATCAAATTCTAAATGAAACTGGGTGCGGACGCCCTTTACGATTGCTCTGTCTGAACGTCTTCGTAAAACGACTGTATGGATGAGTAGACTGTGCTGTAATGGTTTAAAGGATACACGTGAGTAGGAAAGTGATAAACGGCTTTAAATTGACGACACGTTTAAACGTTTTGCTTGTTTTTTAAACGTTTTAAAAAAGCGCTTTTCGTTGAAACACTTTTTTATATATAAAACTGCCAATCGTTGAAGACTTTACAAAACGGAGACTTAAGTGAAAGTCATCTGTCATAACGACAAGTGTTGAAAAAACCATTAAATGGTTGCCGGTTCGTTGGTTGTAAAACGCTAACAAAATTAATACGTCTTCAATTCACCAAAAATATAACATAAACAAGTAAAATATAATATAGTCTCTTAATATGAAACGAATCCATTTGATATTAAGTGAGTCTTATAAAGATAGAAATATGGTTGTTAATCCAAAATAATTTATAATATTTATATTAAGTCTCATACGCTTAGAGATAAGGTCCAATAATTAAATTTTGAGTTGTATTAGCCTTCACATAAGGTTACTTTTCATGTTATGTTTATATTAAATAAAGACGGCTATATTAGCCGTCAACGCTGCATGAATACGTAAGCGTGCTATAGCGCTTTTTTTTAAAAAAGCATGCTTTTTCAAGCGCTTGTCGTTTAAATGCCGACGTCTACACGTGAGAGTGGAACGTTCCAGATCAGTCCGCGAGGCGGCGATGACGTCGTGGGGCGCGGCGGCGCGCGGGCGAGTGGCGCGCGCGGCGTCGCTGCAGCGCCTGTGGCCGCCGCTGGAGAGCGCGCTGGCGGCGCGCGCGCTGTCCCCGCGCGAGGCCGCGCGCGCCGCCGAGGCGCTGGCGCTGCTCGTGCTGCCCGCCGCCGACTGTCCCGCCGTGGCAGAGAAAGGTTAGTGTGAATTTGGAAAAAAAACTATGTTCAGATTATATAAAATTAAAAATTTTTGATCACACTTATAAAAGCACCTTTGAATTTTGAAATTGTAGGCTTTATTTTACTTTCTAAAAAGTAGTTTAACATTTCGTGTAACGTGATAATAAAAGTAGTGATTAAAAAATAATCATATTAAATTTGAGTAGCTCGCGTGAATGTCGTGATATGTCTAAATGTCACTTTTACACGGCAGTAATTTCAGAGTTTTAAAGGGTTTTTATATCGAGTTATTTATTAAAATTTAATATTTTCTTTACATAAATATGAAACTTAAATATGAAATTCTAATACATAATTCGATGTAAAATAACATTTAGAGTAACTTTTAGACTTAACAATAAATATGATTGCGTAGCTGTGTCGCTGCTGTGCGCGCTGTGCCACACGCGCGCGGCGGCGGACAGCGTGTGCGCGCTGGCGCCGGCGCTGCAGCTGGCGGCGCACCACTGCGCGCGCCACCCCGCGCTGCTGCCCGCGCTACGGTAGTTCTGCCGACTGTTTTGTTTTGTTTTTTTTTTCTCATACCACCAGCGCTACGCTAACTGCCACTTGTTTTATTTGTTTTTTTTTACATATACCAGCGCTCTGCGCTACGGTGACTGCCACATGTATTATTTTGTTTTTTTCTTTTCACATATCACTTATCTAAGTATCGTATCAATTACACTTTGAGCCAACAAGATTGTGCTAATTCGTTTAAAATTCATGATGTTAAAGTACCTACCTAAATGTATAGACCAGTCAGTTTTATACATAATAAAAAATGTACCAAAATTCAAAAATTCATATTTTTGAAACAAAAAGAAAAAAACACAGTTTTGAAAATTTCGGGGTCTTTTAATATCAATACAAGGTGTTATATAAAAAAATTAAGCCAAAAATTAATGTTTATCGTTAATTTTGACGATTTTTAAAAATTCAATATTCTATAAATTTGGTATTATTCAAATTTTTTCTTCGTAATATATTTTTTTTTGTATAACCTCAAGTATCTTCTTTAAAATGAACCCAAGCACTTTTTTGTAGCTATAATAGTTTTCGAGACATTTAAAAAATAAACTTGAAAAACTGGAACTTTACTGGCGTTGCGCCGCTTAAACCAAATAGAGTTAGTTGTATGAAAACAATGTATTATGGAATTATCCGTACCGTGTGAAATGAGGGTAAGTCGCTAGTATGTATATAAATAATAGAAAACTGCCGTCTCTGATTTTATACAAATGTACATATTCCGTACGTGTGTTTGTCACCTTACTCCTCCTAAAAGGGCTGGACCGATTTGAATGAAATTTTGTGTGTATGTTCGAGTGGGTTCCTGCAAGGTTTAAATTCACAAATGGACCCGGTAGGTGACGCTGCAGTCGGTGTTTCAAAGTGTTTTTTTTTAGTAGTTTGAACACGGGCGAAGCCGCGGGTACTGCGGGTATAGATATAAATATATAATATAAATCATAAAATACAAAAAAATATTCAATCACAAACATAAATTGTACAGGAAATTAGAAGAAATAGTGCAAGCGCCGTCGCTGTCGCAGTACAGGCCGGCGATAGAGGCGCTGCTGGCGGCGGCGGCGGCGGCCGAGGCGCCGCGCGCGCCCTCCCCGCGCCCCGCGCGCCTCGCCGCGCACGACGTGGGCCGCCGCGTCACGCAGATGTTCCAACACTCCAAGACTAATATGAATCTGCAGAATATATTCAAGAAGAAGACATAGCCTTGAGTATCTTATTTTATATTGGTATTATATCGTACTATACTGTATTCGCCGAATGAACCAAGCACTGAGATTTTGCGCTTCCAAGTGATTAGTTGCAGACAACACGTTTACACCGCGATTACAATGCAAGTCATAATTAGTCCGTCGTTGCATTCCGTACCGTTAAGACGTCTTTCGTGTAGTTACCTAATTTTTTATTTATTTATTATTTATTCATTTATTTATACAAATATTTAAAAATACATTTAATTTAACTTTAATGTTGATTTTATTTGTATGTTGATTTTATTTTATTGCAAATTATTAATAATTCTTCACTAAAGCATTAGCAACATGAACGAGCCCTATGATTTCAAACCAGTTGCAAGTGTTAGTGGGCGGAGCCAGACAGTTTTCTGTCCTTATCAGTTCGTATGCTAATGTGGGACAGAGAAAGCGCCTTGTATGGTTCACTCCGTGAATAGAGTATAACTACTTACCCTCGCTTAGACGGCAAATAAAGTAATTCAACTGACATTTTTTTCGTCTTCACTTAGTTATTATGATAGTACACATTTTTATCGGAATAAAAAATAACATATAGTATTCGGCGATAATGAGCTTCTGATTTGTGTAATGATTATTAGAATCGCGTTAGTAGTTTTAAAGATTACCCCCCTACATACAAACTTACAAATATCTCTTTATAATATTAGTACAGATAAGTACTCCAAAATTAATATGGACCTACAGAATATATTTAAGAAGACATAGCCTTGAGTATTTTACTTTATTAGTATTACAGTGTATAAGCACTCTAATACTAATATGAAACTGTAGAATAAATTCAAAAAGAAGAGCCTTGAGTTTGTTATTTCATTGGTATTATATTGTTTAACATTATGCATTATGACGAGTGATGTCTCAAATTGTTTTGTGTGATGTAATCTAGTGGTATTGGTCCATTGTAAAATTTAAGTTGTTAGCAATGTCATCGGCATTTGGCAGTGATGATATGAATTAATAAAATGTTCAAAAGGCAATAATTAGCTCCGACATACTAACCCCCTCGCATTGAAGGGTGGCCCGTGCCCAGCAAAGGGATGTTAAAAAAAGGTTTTTATTATTGATAGAAAATCAAAACTAATTATATATTAAAGTAAAAAAAAACATTCATGGTTAAAATGTAATAATTTCAATGCTTACAACTAATATATATAAGAATTGAAATTATTATCGTTATTAAAACTATGTGCTACAAGCTACACAGAAAATTATAACTTCAGTTAAAAAGTATAAAAAAATGTAGGCTGTTTATATTATTTTAAATACACTTTTTAAATTCATGATTTTTAAGTTTTTTTTATTCTAAGTATATTAAAAATCATGACAAATATGATCGCAAAAATTTCAAGTCTAAGAAAGTATTATTATTTTAATTTTAAAAATATGGCATAAAATTTTAATTTAAAAAATATAACTAAGCACTCATTAATTAATTATAAACATACATATTACGTTAAATTGATCATTTTTAACTATTTTTTATATATATATGGAGAAGTATTCTATGCAATATTTTTTTTGACTTTAAAAATCTTATTTATTCACTTAAAAGTAATATCAAATCTCTACAATTGATATTTATTTCTATTTTAATAAATAGTAGTTAGCAACAGCCTGTAATTAATATTGACAACAGGTTCCTCCTGCAAATATGATGAATTAAAAAGCAATATTTGTTCTACGGAAACTATAACATTACTCTTATTATAATACAAGCCGAATTCGCGGCTGCGCCTGCGTTCTATTTACAAAAAACTCTTTGGCTTTATGTTATACAGCGACTTATCCACGCTTCGCTCGGGTTCTTCGCTATGTATTTATTATTATCTATTGTTCATACAAAAATACTAAAATCTCGAATAAAAAATGGGGGGTGGGATAGGGGGGGGGGGAAATACTTTACGACCTATTCTCACAACTACCAAATAAACAAAAAATCATTAAAATCGGTCGAGCCGTTTCGGAGCAGTGCGACCGCAGACACTGTGACACGAGATATTTATATATTAGATTACTCATGGGACTTAATCAATGGGCAATGTAATAGAGGAATAATTATATTTTGTATGTGTAAAATAAGCCTTTTATTAGTTGTTGTAGTAAACATGATATTGTACGCATGTTTTAAACATATGGCTTTGTTAAAATAGTAAAGTTTTATTAGTGTGGAGTCTAAATTATTTTAAAATAGCTTTTTAGTATAATTCACTGACAAAAAAGTTATTTTACACAACACCATGTGTTATTTAAACTAATTGTTATCATTTATCCTTCGATCATTTTTTATATGACTGATAATAATTATCATCAATCAAATGTACTAGATACACAATCCCAAGCAAAAGTTGTCTTAAAACTGTCACCAATTGTGCTTAGGTAATAATTATTCTAGTTGAAATAAATTACAACAATGTAAATTGAACTTTAAACGCAGTGATTAAAGTTTTTTTGACTAAAACAATTTTAAATTAAATGGGCGCTCAAATGTTCAAATGAGCGCTCATTCAGTGAGGAAATTTTTTGTCGCTGATTGTGTGTGTATCTAGTATTTTTTTATTGATGCAGATAATATAAAATAGTAAAGTCGACTTAGTTTTAATTACTAAAAATTAAACAACATCTTTATACCAATAACAAAAACAGAAGTGAAATCGGTGTTTTTCTTTAAATGTCTGTTTTATACGGAGTGATGATTTTTGAAGTACTTAGTTGTTAAACATAAGCTAAACCAAGGAACAAGTGATGGTTAATCATATTTTTGTAGAGGAATGATTAAGGTTAGTGTTTAATTTTGTATACAAAGTTAAATAAATGTAGTGTCTGAGATTTCAGAAATTATATGCACACACATATATTATTATACTCGTATATAACACTGTGTAAATTATTGTAATAAGTGCTAGTGATGTACAGTACTTCTATATTGTTAAAAACATTTTATTATTTAATATTCTGATATCATAGTTCTATATATAAACAGATTATAAAAATCAATAAAGATCCTAACATATTTCTGTGATTCTGACGTTTAGAAGTTTTTCAATTTGGAACATGGAGAATTTTTAAATTTTCTTTCATAAATATATGGTGATTGAACATAGAAGATGAAACAATAATAGCAAATTGCAATGTAAAATACATCAGTTGTACGAAAAAATCAACAAAGATTTGGCTCTACGTTTTCGTTACCACCCATAACTCGTCGTCCACATTTGTAACGGTAGAAGATGAGAACTTTTCTGTTGGTACATAAGAAATTATGAAAATAGCTAACAAATATTAATAGCATAGAAGTACAGTATATTGTTTAAGCTTGACACACCTAAAGTGCTATTGTTTATTATTATCGTGATTTATTCGTATAAAAGATATCTTCCACAGATAACAAAAAATAGCATGAGACAAATGGCAGCTAATACAGGAAAAAGTCATATATATTTATAGCAAATACAGATGAACACATATATGTATAGAATTACTATCAAAATACTAAGTAGTAATTAAAATTAATAATAAAATATCCGCGTATAGATTGTCGAAGATTTTATTGAATGCTATTGTTATATTCTGCCTTATCTTTTTCATATTAAATCATTAAATGCAAAGGAATTTACTATCAGAATGTTAAGAGCTTCCCACACGCGCGACGAGTATTCATGCTTAAATAAAATAGATTTATAAATATACTCTTCTACTTATGTGCTATAATCAATTGCAAATAACATATTTTTATATAGAATATATTGTGATGTAATATTGTTTATTTTAAATGACGTGATTTAGTTTTGATGCACATATTCAGATTATCGTTGTTACTTCTACTAAATTAAACATATTACCTTTATCTAAGTATTACATATATAAATCGATGAATTGAATTATTATTATCTAATTATAAGATTTTATCTTAGATGTTTTGTGCTTTTTAACACGATTTCTCTGCTAGTTATTAGGAAAATGACAGTAATTACGCCTTAGTGGCAATGGTAGTGAGGCCTTTGCCTTATGGTCGGAAAAATACTTATAAAGTCTTTCAAATTTATTTTTTGAAGTGAAAACTTCTATAGGCAGGTTTGGATGGGGAGTAAATTCAAGCAAGTCGTCATCGACATGGTCATGTGATGTGTTAAAAACCAGATAAATGTAAACAGTTTTAATTTACAAATTTTAATTTAAGATCAAATAATTAATTTGAATGTCCAAGAATAACAACTGTTTATAGTTTTAAGTTTTCACTTCTGTCGGCGTTCCTCATGACTGCTTTTTTTGTTATAAATTTCGCTCACATTCCATTTGATAATTTTATGCGCTAAATTATTTTTTAAATATATTTTGAACATGTTACAGTAGTACTTAATTTACAGCAACTAGTTCAATACAAATAATAAAATATATATTAACTTCTAAGTTACGGTGCATTCAATATAATAAATTAATTACACCTTAAACAAAAAAAAAAATTTCAAACTTTTTTTTTATTATTTGACTGCAAATAAATATGTTGGCATTAATAGTTGATGGGTTTTCAATCATTTTAATTTAAGGTTGGCTTGATTATTAAAATGAAATATAGTTTATGACGTAGTATCTTCCAAATATATTGTGTTTTACTCGAATAAATTATTTAAAGTTATAAACTTGTAGAGACTTAATATTTTTTGTGAACAAAAATGAATGATAGTATTATTATTATTTTTTTGTTTTAGCTTTATCGAATCTCATCTGAATGAATGTATAATATACAAAGTGTCAAACAAAGATAAAATTGTTTAGTTAATGTTTGAGTGATATTTTACGAATGTTATTTTCAATTTTTGGCACGCGGAATTATAGGTTGTGTCGAAAAGGATAAATGAAATAAATTTTATAAAATAAATATGCTTTTTTTATTTCTCTTATCTCTTCATTTATAATATTTCAACGTTTAAGGAAAAATATTTTAGCTTAATTTCCATTGGAAGGGAAATTAAATATTTAGCATCTTAAATATTGTTTATGTTGGCGAGGAATAAATAATTAGTTAATTCCTATCGAAGGAGATATACGAGGAGGCATTATGGTCGCTCGTTAACAAATAAGAATGGATAGCCATATCATTCAGTATTTCATTGCTCTATGATAGGTAGGTCGGTAGGTTCATCTAGGGACGCAGAAGGACTGGTAATTTAATAAATAATACCATAAAAAATATCAATGTCATTTATGAAATTCATACCTCGAAATACAACTAAACAAGAGATAATAACGCTTGTCAACGTAAGGGGTTTAAATGAGATTTTTTTATTCTTATACTCATAAATCATAATCTATAGTGGTGTTTAAAATTTTCCTTCAGAGTAAAAATACGTAAAAAACATTTTCTGTAAACATCGAATAGATTTATTGAGTAATTGTATATTTGAAGATTTTCTGATAGCGCTCTGATAAAGCACGATACCGTTGTGATAACGTCTTTTGTCAGTATCCTCATATAAAGTGTTGGTCATAGTAGTCTTAAGTCTAGTATATCGATATATACTCGTATATATCAACACTTATTGTGAATCTTTTTGCGTTAATATTTTAATAGAAAATGTCGGAAAAACATTTACAAACAGGTTGGTTCACTAAACATATTATAAGTTTCGTTCGTTTGTTTCAGCTGAATTACGTCCAATGCTGGACATAGGCCTTCCCCAAAGTTTTCTACGACAGTCGGTCTTGTGCCATCTACATCCAGAGCTCCAGCGATTTTGACCAATTCGTCGGCTCTGTGAGTCTGTATGAGTTTACTATGCCATAGAGTATGTAACCCTTTTTGTCTATGCCCACGATTTCGTTTCCCTGGCCGATTTGACTTCTAGGCTGACATCATCAGATATTTTCATTACACATTAACATTTCACATTTGTGATTTGGATTCTTCAAATTTCAATCTTTATCTGTCAATTGCTAGAGTATTTTTGTTCTGTGCCTGTGGTCAATTGTCATTGTGGTTGATGGTTATTGGTTTGTCATCCATGGTCAAAGAGTATAGTTATAAACTGGGAAGCAAAGAGTATAGTTATATACGGCTGGGAAGGTTCTTTCCGTCAAATAACCCTTTCTTTTGAGTGTTTTCTTTTTGGCGTAAGCCGGCTGACAATAGAAAATATATTTTATTGTTCTTTCCTAACTTGTCGAAAGTATTTTTTTCCATATAATGTCGGAAAAACATTTGCAAACTGGTAAGTTAAGTAAAAACATTAGTTATTAGATTAGAATGGAGTTATTACTTTATTAAAAATTATATTTATATAAAACTAGCGACTTACCCTCGCTTCCCTCGGGTTCGTCCCCAGGTTTGCCTCCCCATACAAACTTTCATCCCCATTCCACTACACAATACACGCCCTTATGGGATGATTTCCGGGATAAATACTTTCACTCACTCACTTTTCTTAACATGTGATTTAAAAAAAACTTACTTTAGTCAAAAAAAATTTTTTCGTTTAATTTACTTCTATACAAAACTTTCTGATAATGACATATACAAAAAAAAAGAATTATCCAACTTGGTGCAGTCGATCCGAAGTTATGCGCGTACATTTCGGTTATTCATTTTTACTTACAGGTGACGTTCTTCCTCCTCATAATGGAAAACTGCGCTTATTTGCAATGAGGTTTTGCCCGTATGCTGAAAGAAGTGTACTTGTTTTAAACGCTAAAAATATACAACATGACTTGGTCTTTATTAATTTGGATCACAAACCGGAATGGATATTTAACTACAGTCCAAAAGGTTAGTACTTTGATGATATGTTATACTTAACAATATATATAAAAGATACATTTAGTTACACATACTAATCCACATTGTTCACCCAATATAAAGATTTAAATAAATAAAACAAATATGCAAGAACTAATTTTTTTTGCTACTTTTAGAATTCATGCAGATTTAAAATAAAGAGCGAATCAGACAGTAATCTAGTAAAAAAAGAAAACTTAAAACTAGTTTTATTTGCAAATCATTCAATTAAAATTTGGTTACCAATATGATACTCTTTTCAATAAAATTATAAACTAGGTATATCAGTACCCAACAGATTAGTCTCATGTACACTCTCATCTTAGAATTGATCTATTATGTGTTTCCTTTTTATTTACAAAACTACTAATCATATAAATAACTAGCGACTCACCCTCCCTCTGCTCGGGTTCGCACCTACTTATGTTTTAACGTTTATTATAGATTTCTCAAAGATGAGATATTTTCCTGCAGTAAAAAGTATCCTATATGCTGACCCGGATAACCAGCTATCATCATACCAAATTTCATTAAAATCGCTCCAGTGGTTTTTCCGTGATTCGTTAACAGACAGACAAAAATCCTAAAAACTATAGATCCTGCCTCTGTATTGATAATAACGTCTATTTCCATATGATTTTCTAAAAATACACTACATATGTACAGATTCAGGTTAGTTACAATTTTATTATATGTATAGTGTAGAAGAATAACAAAAAACAATAAAAATTAAATCGGGTATGTATATTCTTAAATAATCATATATACCTAAGGAAAATTGTAATGTATAATTTTTTTAAATTTAAAATAACTTAGCAATACATTTTGTCTGGCTTACCACTAATTACATTTAAAACTTATTCTTTTACATAGGAACTGTACCGGCTTTGGAGTATGAGCAAGGAAAAGGAATCTTTGATAGTAATATCATAAATGTATATCTTGATGAAAAATATCCTGAAATCCCTCTTCAAGCAACTGATCCATTAAGAAGAGCTCAGGATAAAATGCTTGTTGAGCAGTTTGCTGGTGTAAGTCAACATTAATATTATTTATTAATTTATATGTTCACTAGTTTTTGCCTGCATTTTGCTCACATGGTAAGCAAGGCATGATAGGATAAAATATTTTTATTTTGTGCAGTGATTTAAATGTGAATAGGTAACAAATTGAGTGTTACTTTCTTATTTATAATAATAATAGAGACTTATAATAATAGAAGAAAATTAGAATGTCTATAATTTATAACATAATTTTGAATACATATTACATAAATTTTATACAGCTTGTTAAAATATGTACTATTATTTAGCATATTTGATTTTAAAATACTTTAAAACTAAATCTACTTATTTCCATTTAAACTAAATGTATACATGTAAATAACTAGGTTAAAATTCAATTAAATACTAGCGGACCCGACAGACGTTGTCCTGTCTACACGTCTTTAATTTGAAAATTTCAAAATTTTTTAAATAATTTTTTTGATGAAAATTATTATTCAAATTGTGAATCTAAACCATTCCCAGATCCCCCTGAACACACACAAAAAATTTCATCAAAATTGGTCCAGTCGTTTAGGAGGAGTTCAGTCACATACACACGCACACAAGAAATATATATATTAAGATTAATTAAAGAATTAAAAATACTAAAATGTATTTGATAGATAGAAAGTAGAATCCTTATACAATTTATAATAATTAAATAACTTCATATAGAGAGACTAGCGACTCACCCTGGTTCCGCTTGGGTCGTCCCTAGTGAAAATTTAGGGTTGTATTTTTTTAATGCCAAATCATAAAAAAATTAAAATAAATTTTTTTATGTAAAAATGAAAAAATAAAACTTTTTTTTTGGGATGGACCACCCTAATCACTAAGGGGTATGAAAAATAGTTTACGTCTTATTCTCAGACCTACTGAATATACACAAAATTTCATAAGAATTATCAAGCCGTTTCAAAGTAGTTTTGTTACAAACACTGTGACACAAGAATTTTATATATTAGATGTATGAAATAAATTTCCACTAAACAAGAATACAAACAAAAAGGTGAAAAGCAAGTTTTAAGTAATTTAAATATGTATACATAAATTATTATATATTTAATTTAAACTCATTATTTTTATACAGGCCCAATCTGCATATTACACTGCAGCTTTTAATGCTCAAGCTCTGCAACCTAATATGGTTGAAAACTACCACAAAGGACTAGAACTGTTACAAAAGGATCTGGAATCTCGTGGAACTAAATTTTTACATGGTGATAAACCCGGATTAATTGATTATACCATTTGGCCATTCCTGGAACGCTTTGAAGCTCTTCCTCTGTTGGGCAAGGCTGATTTTGCCATAGATAAAGATAAATATGGACTACTGGTGAGTAAAATCAAATTGAAAATTTGTATTTTTTCTTTTATAACAATATCTGATATTTTTAGTTCTGAAAACTATACAACAAAAATTAATTTTTTATATGAATAAGTTATTAAAATAAAAATATAAACTATTTTCTAGGCAAGCTACATGGAAGCAATGCGCAATGATCCAGCTGTGAAATCTTATGCCTTAGCACCAGACACTCATGCCAAGTTCACTGAATCGCGTGTAAAGGGTGATGCAAACTACAACATGTTGGATACTAGTGACGTTTGCTGTATGCGCCCCAGAAAGAAGAAGGAATAAACATTTTTTTTAACAAATAAAATTGTTATAAATTTAATATGCAATAAAAGTACAATTAAAAGCATTTGCCTTTTTTTGTATTATATTTATATGATTGATAAAAAATTTATCATCTTAAAATTATTTACTTATTGTGGTTTATTTTCAACAATGTTATCAATACCCTTATCTGTTTTTTAAATAAAACAATAGTATGTAGTCTTTACAATATGATATTAATAATTAATGAAGTACCTACATAACATTTTTGCAGTGTCACATCTTTTTAGATGCCTATTTTATTATACGTTGTAATTTTTTTTTTTAATATATACACAATAGCAAAATTAGACTATTGCTATAAAATTAAAAATGTTGACTTTTTTGTCAATATTTAATTTGAATCGTGTTTTAAAACTAAATAGAGCTCACGTTCAAGACGGCCTTGACTTTGTTCTAAATATAATATATTTAACAGCATATCGAATAATTTATATAGCTAACTACTTTTTATTCATGCCTATCCAAATGATACGTCATACCTCAGATCAATAAAAAAAGTATAGGTCTGAACTTCATACAAACATTTTATGTATATGTACCTATATTATAATATAAATATGGTTAAATAATACTTATAACTTCTACACTCTATGCTTTACTAAATGAATTGTACGTCGACGATCGAAATCTAAATAAGTAGTAGATCTACATAGTGTCTTTTCATAAAGCACAAAGTAATCGATATCTTCTGTCTTTGTCTGGAACTTCGAAGCTACTTTATAACTACAAGTAGAATAATACGTAATGTTAACGCGCATTGACGCCAAGACTTGTGATAAGTCTAATAACTTGTTTGTTGATAAAAATATAAAATGATAACGTCATCCTTAACATTTGCTATGCATATATTAGTATCGTCTTATAAAGTGCTGGCCCCAGTCGCCCAGTTGTTGGAATACATGTTGCCGTATCGAAACATAGCTTCCAAAGCAATTATGGGAAAAATAAATTTTAACTCGAAGCATTTGAAAAAAGGTTAGTATTTTGACATTTGTTAAGTATTTTTTTGTTTTAATATATATAATTCACTTTCCCTGTCATTGTTAACTTAATTTGTTTAAATAGATTAAATTTGTCATATTTTTACTGATGACGTTCATAATTTTGTATGAATTAGGACCTTCATATATTCCAAATGTTTAACTTATTAGTTTTAACATTCATTATTATTAATTTATACGACTTTAAATGTACCTGGCTCTATATAAGTATTAATTATGAAAGCCTGTGTACATATATATTTTCATATTAACGATAAGCACAGATAAAAATGATGGTCAGTGATATTGGGATATACAAGGACTAAGTATTCAGCTACTGGAATTATAAAATTATCGTAAAACGTAAATGTACAGTACAATGCAAATGCATAAATTACCTACGTACAGACTACAAAGCAGGTATATAATATAATAAACCCCTCTATAATCTATGCTACCTTTACCATGGAAAAGACAAAAAAGTTTACCCGAGTTTATGTACTTTAAAAAAAACCTAATTTTGCTTTTTTCAACATTCAAGTAAATAGTAATCTATTGTTTAATAAACTTAAACTCTAATTCACAAATTCTTTCTTCTAACTTAATAAGTTCTAGCATTAAGTAAGTTCCGAATTTAACCTTAGCGCCGCCCCTGGGCATAGTAAAAATTAAAAAATGCCGCCTAATTATCGAAATATTGCATAAAATGTGTAAAATTTCAATAAAGTTTAATTTTTTTAATTATTATTTTTTTGAAAAATGTTCCTACTAGTTAATCCTTTTTTATTTTTCATTTTTTGTAAAATTAAAAAAAAAATAGTTTTGATAACGCGAAGAAATTTTTAAAAACATTACTCTTGAACATGTTAAGTTTACTGCAAAAATAACCTTACATCTATACATATAATAAAATTGTAACTAAGTCGAATCTGTACATTAAATATTTTTTGGAAAGTCCGAATCTAAAGTTTTTAAAATTTTTGTCTGTCTGTCTGTCTGATACCGCATCACGAGAAAACCACTGGACAGATTTTGATGAAATTTGGTATGATGGTAGCTGGATATCCGGGTCAACATATAGGATACTTTTTACCGCGGGAAAATAGCTTATTTCTGAGAAAAATGCAAAAACTGCAATGTAAGAGTATACTAATATGTAAAACCTAAGAATTTGGTTTTTAGTCATCTGAACGCGGGCGGAGCCGCGGCGAATTCTAGTAGTTAAATAAAAGAGTAAATAATCATATAAATTTGATTTGCAAAACATTCATAACAATGCAAGATTATGTCAATTTTTATTTACATTATAGGTGATCCTCTTCCTCCGTACAATGGAAAATTACGCGTATACAATATGCGATACTGCCCTTTCGCACAACGTACAATTTTGGCATTGAACGCAAAACAGATTGATTATGAAATTGTCAACATCGATCTGATAGAAAAACCAGAATGGCTGCCTAGAAAGAGCCCTCTTGGTGAGTCCCTACTTTCTATACTAGGTTCATTTTTATAATGTTTCTTAGGTACTGAAAACAGATGGTCTCACCGACACTGTACACTCATTTTCACAACGAGATAAATTTTATTTTGGCCACTACCCTAATTCTGCACCAGTTTAGTAAAAACAAAATGCAACTTTAGTGAATGTCCTACGTCATGGCGAAAAGAAAGTGTGTTTGAATCGTTTTTTCAGGAAACTATTTTTTTTCAGGCAAGGTGCCATCTGTAGAAATAAAAGAAGACGTATGCGTATACGAAAGTCTTATAACAGTAGAATACTTGGACGAAGCGTACCCACAAAGACCCTTATTACCAAAAGATCCCGCCAAAAGGGCGTTCGACAGAATATTAGTAGAAACTACGGTAGGAAGTGTAAGTAGCTGTACAAGACAATAAACTTTAATTATAGTACTAACTTTAAATTATAAAATACCGACGCATTTAAAAACTAAAATTAGGCAATGGTAATTGATTGATAAAGTATTTGCCTTATGCATTCAGCATGTGGAATGGCAGTGTCATTATTTACAACATTTTGTTTATAAAATTCTTTAATAATAATTTTTCGATATTGCTCAATCAAAAATTATCGGATAAACTTAGATAACAAAACTATATTATAATCACAGACTTAGAGACTAGACTGAGTGTTTCTTTCAAGTTTCAAGTCAGCCGTCAGCTGAAAATTGAGGAAAGGCGCGACAGAAACAAAACTAATGTGCGGCCAGAAGTCTTCTATATAATTGAAATACAATTAGTGAAGATAGATATTTATAACCATTTTACATTTCATTATAATATTATTTTGTTTTATTTTATTTATAAATTCAAATTGGCATAAAAGACAGATTATTGGCCGCACTTTCGCTTTCTCTCTCTCTAGAGAGTAGTCAATTTTATGAGTATTGTCCAGTCCATTCTCTAGGCCTGTGATTTTATTAGGTACGCACATATAACGTCACATACTGGTTCTAAGGGAGAGTCGCCCTCATTTCAAGTATGTAGTAATCTTGCAGACAACCTCTGTTATACTGCAAAAATATCAAGGCTAAGATATTTAAGGTATCTTTTATATTACTTACACTTCATTAAAATAACAATGATTATAATTTTATGTAATATTTCATTTTCAGATTCATACTCTGTTCTTCAAAGTGCTCAGAGCGCCTGATACTATTACTGAGGAAGTAGTAAACAATTACCACAAATCATTATCACTCATAGAAGAGCAACTAAAAAGCCGTGGCACCACATTTTTGAATGGAAGTGAGCCAGGTTACGTCGATTACATGATCTGGCCGTGGTTTGAAAAGATTGACGCAATGAAGACTGTCGATGAGAAACTTATAATAGATCCAGTTAAATATAAGAAATTGGTTAGTATGTATACAGTAAAGTCTGTTTTTTCGTCTGATTGTTTCGCGGCGAACTTAGTTTAAACCACGCAATAGAATTTGATACGGTTTTCACTATCATTTAGAGAATTTCTTCTGTAAGTTTTATATTTATAATACATGTATATTATAGTAGAAAAAGACAAAAAATTAAAATAATGATACTACAAATGTTGTATCTTAAAAAAGGCTATAGAACAGTCAGCGATGGTATATGTTTATATATATATACATACACCCCACAATAATATACGTAAAATTAGCGTATAATATGTTAATCCAATACTTACATATATAAGCTTCCATTCTGTATTTCATTCAAATCCATTGAGTCGTTACAATGTGAAAAATTAAACCTTCTTGAAAACTTTCGTATTTGTAATAATTTTAGTGTTAAGTGCATCGATCAAAAAAGTACTAGATACACAATCAGAGACAAAATATGTCCTCACCGAATGAGCGCTCATTTGAACATTTAAGCGCGCTTTTACTTTAAATATTTTTTTGTGAAAACAACTCTAAGCTTATGCAGTGCTCAATGTTCAATTTATCGGCGATCTCGGAAACGGCTATAACGATTTCGCTGAAATCGAAAATCGGTCTAGATTAGTTTTACATGTCTGGGAAAACGCCTGTTTTCAAGTATTTCTTTCGCATTATACCACGCAAAATATGGTCGCTAATTTCGCACTTTCGGGCATAAGCATCCTGGTCAAGCGTCCAGGTTCGAATCCCGGTCGAATACAAAGTTTTACTTTTGTTTTTTTTTTATCAAAGTTTAAAATTAAAATTCAAGTTTTTAGTCTTTTTATCTAAAAAATACAATATAACATAAAAGAACTCCGAGCGAAGCTCGGTCGCCCAGGTATTAATATTAATATGAGATCTTCATTTGTTCCAGGTGGAGTACATTAGCAATATGTTCCAAGATCCAGCTGTAAGCGAATACTTGGTACCACCCTCTATCTTACTTAAATACTTTGAAGGATACAAAACTGGATACCCCAATTACGAACTACTTAACGAAAACTAAACTAGCGTATAAGTTAATTATGTATTTTATTTGAACAAAATTCTCTTACTAAGTGTTGATATATTGAAAATATTTCTTTAAATAAATCTAATTCTTTTTTTTTACATCCGTTTTTTATTATTTGCAAAAACAAGTACCGTGTTTATTTATTTAGAAATTTAAATCGAAAATTTAGAACTGAATGTTTGCTCTTAAAGCAGATTAATCTGTTGATTACTTCTATTCTGAGTCGAATCTGTTCATCAAATATTTTTTGGAAAATCTTATTGAAATAGACATTATTATCGATACAGAAGCCAAATCTATAGTTTTTAGAATTTTTGTCTGTCTGTCTGGGAACGCATCACGAGAAAACCATTTGAAATTTTAATGAAATTTGGTATGATGATAGCTGGTTATTCGGGTCAACATATAGGATACCTTTTACTGCAGGAAAATATCTCATCTCTGAAAAATCTGTACTAACCGTCAAAACGTACCTAGGAAAATACGTACAAAATAAAAATATTTTATCATATCATGCTTTGCTTACCATGTGCGCAAAATGCAGGCAATAACTAGTGAACATATTATAAATTAATAAATAATAATAATTAATGTTGACTTACACCAGCAAACTGCTCAACAAGCATTTTATCCTGAGCTCTTCTTAATGGATCAGTTGATTGAAGAGGGATTTCAGGATATTTTTCATAAAGATAGACATGTATGATATTACTATCAAAGGTTCCTTTTCCTTGGTCATACTCCAAAGCCGGTACAGTTCCTGTGTAAAAGAATAAGTTTTAAATGTAATTAGTGGTAAGTTAGACAAAACGTATTGCTAACTTATTTTAATCTAGCATTGCCCGCGGCTCCGCCCGCGTTCAGGACCAAAATCCAAATTCTTATGTTTTACAGATTAGTATACTTTTACCTTGCAGTTTTTGTATTTTTTCTCAGAAACGAGATATTTTCCCGCGGTAAAAAGTATCTTAAATGTTGACCCGGATAACCAGCTAGCACCATACCAAATTTCATCAAAATCCCTCTGGTGGTTTTTCTGTGATGCGGTAATAGACAGACAAAAATTCTAAAAACTATAGATTCGGACTCTGTATCGATATTAATGTCTATTTCAATAAGATTTTCCAAAAAATATTTAATGTACAGATTCGGCTTAGTTACAATTTTATTTTAGAATGATGAATGATATATTATTGAAATAGACATTATCGATACAGAGGCCGAATCTATAGTTTTTTAAATTTTTGTCTGTCTGTCAGTCTGTCATCGCATCATGGAAAAACCACTGGAGGGATTTTGATGAAATTTGGCATGATGGTAGCTGGTTATCCAGGTCAACATATAGGATACTTTTTACTGCGGGAAAATGTCTCATCTCTGAGAAATCTACTCTAAACGTTAAAACTGACTATCTGAAATAAATTTTAACGAAAATGATGGTTTAGTAAACTATATTAAAAAAAAACTTGACAGTAAACGTCGAAGAACCAATAATCTAGGATATTGTTTAATTATTGAAATAAACTCTTATATAGCGATATAGATATCCCATCAAAAACATACTGTAAAAATATTGCAAGTCTCGCAACGCATCTCTCTACCGCAAAAAGCTATGAGATATAATGTAAAACCAAGTCGGTTAATTTATTCATTACCTATCTATGGAAGCATCGATCCGACAACTTTGTCATAAATCGTTACCGAATTAGTTAAGTTACAACATTTTATAGTGACCGTATTAATATTAGATATATTTATTTCTTTAATTAATAGAGTGACTTGGCCATCGCACGGAAACATAATCACATAAGAGTCGACTACTTTAAATAGTCCTAATTAAAAATACCATGACCAAGGTGAACGGACGACTTGGTCAAAGTCGCTGGAGCCCACTGGATGCGGATGGCACAAGACTGGTTGTCGTGGAAATTTTTGGGGGAGGCCTATGCCCAGCTCTGGACGTGTTTGGGCTGAAATGAACGGAACATAGTACTAGCGGGTCAAATTGATGCATACACTAACAATACATAAATAATGCACTCAGAACGTTAATATTAGGTAAATTTTGTTATTTGTAGGTTCTGTTATCATGTGCGATGGCCAAGTCATTCTATTAATTAAAGAAATAAATATATCTAATATTAATACGGTCACTATAAAATGTTGTAACTTAACTAATTCGGTAACGATTTATGACAAAGTTGTCGGATAGATGCTTCCATAGATAGGTAATGAATAAATTAACCGACTTGGTTTTACATTATATCTCATAGCTTTTTGCGGTAGAGAGATGCGTTGCGAGACTTGCAATATTTTTACAGTATGTTTTTGATGGGATCTCATTTCTTTTTATAAATATTTCTTCTTTTTCCCTTTTCTTGTACTATTTCTTGTGTGTCAGCTAAGGACTTCTTAAAAGCCCACTCCCTGTCTCTGTGGGCTTTTTTTCAGAGGCTTTGATATAACAAATTTTGACAAGTCTGGATGATAAAAAATCTAAGTCTATTGTATTCGAAAATTGCGGATTCCTAGGCTTCATTACTACTATCTTATGCATTAAGTATAAATATGTATAGTTAATTTAATGAATATTTTAATTTCATTGTTGACCCTAAATACCTACCCCGATACTGATATTGAACTTACGTAAGTTTAATAAAACGTGTAGATTTATGTGTCTATCTGCGGCATCGTAGGTAAATCCCGAAGGTTGTTATACTTAATTATTATTGCTTGTTCAGTCAATTTTGATGCAGTTTAATAGAAAAGTGAGGTTGCCAACTCATTTCATTCACTGATTCCATTGGCCATTTTAAAAGTAATTTTCAAAGAGATTGATATTTAATGACCTCTATATTCCATGTTTTATTAGGTGTGTACAGTTACGAGCAATGAAATGTTAACAAGTTTTCTAATTCAAATCAACATCATACTTTATAAAAGAAAATATACGAGCTTTGTTTCAAAATATGTTGGAACAGTAACACACAGAACCATCTAGTTCCATGGTAAGCTACGAGGCTTGTGTTATGGATACTAGATAGTTGATACACTACACATATATAACTTTAAATACATACATATTATAAATATAAACGCCCATGACTGGAGTACAAACTTTAGTCATCACACAAATGAATGCCCCCAGCGGGACTCGAACCCGCGACCGCCGGCACAGAAAGTAGGGCCGGGCCACTACAAACTGAGCCAAACGTGTCGTCAAAAATTAAGTAATCGTCAAGTTTTGTCGTAATTAGGTATATATTTTAATAAATTCATTATAAATAACAGGTAATCGAATATTAGTTGGTAATACACTATACACGCTTCACGTTGTATTTATGTACCCATTTGTATATGCATAAAAATGTATACAGCTACTGAAAACGCTTGAAATAATATTTTCACATTTGAATAATATTTTTCTAATGTATACAATAGTTGCAATACCAACATTAATAAATAAATAGACGAATCGTGATTAGGTTAGTAATTACGAGGGAACATAGGATCGAACATACAAACATACATACAGGTTAAACACTAACCTAACCTCCTTTTACATTGCAAGTGACGACAATTATATGTATGAACTGCACAAGTAACTTTGTAATCCCATATATCGCATATCTATTTGTATAGGATTACAAAGTTACTGATGCAGTTTGTTGTATATCTCGAAAACAGGATTGAAATTGCGTGATGTTTGAATTTTTCCTTGGGTTATAGAGTAAACACGAATTGTGTTCAAAATTTGAAGCTTCTATGTCTGCTAGAAGTACCTTAGAATTTTGATGATCGGTGAGTGAGTGACGATATTAACGAATTTTGATCTGCAACAGTTCATAAACTACTGGTTCAAATTGAATGTAATTTGGAAATGTACCTAGTTTTATTATGTTCTCTTAGTCACTCAAAATTCAAGCTTCTAGCTTTATCCATAACGAAGTTATGGGGGGGTGGAAAATGCTCTGAATCCCTTCGAGAAAAGGATGGTACTGCCGTGCCCTTTTTTGCTCGACTTGGCGGGGGCACTGCCGTGCCCCCCGATATTGGCGAATTTACAGACCCCTCTCAAAGCATCTATAAAGTCGTTTGATAAATATCTAAACTAAACATAATTTTTATCATTTAAAAACGTAATTTTAATATTAAGAAACAATTACACTATTAACTCATCAAAATTATCATTCGTCATCATAATTAATAATTTACGCACATGATTGCCGCATGCTGTCTGCCGACTGCTGACACTGCGTGGACTTGTCCCACTTTAAATCAATCATTAAATATCTAGGTATTAATTACCCTTGACACAAATCTAAATTTTCGACATCACGTTGAGATATTATGACTCGCGGTATATTGCTAATGTATAAATATTATAAATGTGAAAGTTTGTGAGTAATGGATGTATGTTTGTTGTATGGCTGAACGGATCTGGATGAAATTTGACACAGAGATAGATTATAGTCTGGAATAACACATAGACTACTTTTTAAACCGGAAAAATATACGGTTCCCAAGGGATAATTTTGCTTATGATTTTCTAGGAGCGAACCCGAGCGAAGCGAGGGTGAGCTGCTAGTCTATACATAAAATAAAATTGAACTAAGCCGAATCTGTACATTAAATAATTTTTGGAAAATCTTATTCAAAAAAAAGTTATTATCGATACAGAGGCCGAATATATAGTTTTTAGAATTTTTGTCTGTCTGTCTGTTACCGCATCACAGAAAAACCTCTAGAGGGATTTTGATGAAATTGGGTATGGTGGTAGCTGGTTATCCGGGTCAACACAGGATAATTTTTACCGCGGGAAAATATCTCATTTCTGAGAAAAAAATACAAAAACTGCAATTTAAGAGTATACTAATATGTAAAACCTAAGAATTTGATTTTTGGTCTTCTGAACGCTGGCGGAGCCGCGGGCAATGCTAGTACATAAATAAAATAGTAACTTGGCGAAATTTGTATATGAAATATTTTTTAAAAACAATGTAACGACGTATTGTATACAGAATAGACCCACAATAGTTATTAAAAAAATTGTTTGTTAGTGTGTACGCGTTTCAGGCAAAAAGTATCCTTAAATATCCCGCAACCTTAGAGTATTAAGTTACCGAGATATTTTAAGTAGGTTCTTTATTGTCTATTCATCATACACACCAATAATTGCATCTTACGCTGCTACTTTAAAACATTAATATGTCGGCGGGTAAGTTATGCCAGTTTCCATAAAAAAATGTTTTTCTGTTAGAAACTCTGTTTCTTATTAGTAATATCCACGTAATTAAACCTAAATTAAAGTAAGCTATTAAAAAATATATTCCATTTGATTTATAAAATGTAACTGCTAGGTGTAGGTAAATATTACGTTAGAACATAATTAAAAAAAAACATGAATTAATCATTTAAAAAATTTAATTAAAAACACACGAAAGGTATATAAGAAATTAGAATTTCACTAAATCGTAAAACTCGTCAATTAAGGTACAGAAATATAAATTATTATAGAAAGAAAAGAAACAAATATATTACTTATAGTAAAATTAACGCAAAACAGATGTCCAAATTTTTATCTAAATACTGTTGCCATGTCAAGTTAGAGAATCAATAAATCATGTCAGCTTTCTATTTCTAAACATAAACATAATTAAGTCAACACAATATCTAACCTTCAGTCAAATAATTATGAAAACAATACATTTAATAATACATTTTGTACTTTTAACTATAAATTAACATTATAACGAAATCTTAGTAGAGAATTACACTACAGAATTAACTACATAATCTTTAAATACATTCACTGTTTTGGCATATTGTTGAACTTTTATAATCATGAAACAACACTTCAATATATTTTAAATCTAACATGCAGTCGTATTATATTAATTAATGTAATAATCAGTCTAAATAAAGTTTATTTTAATCAACTTTATATTTATTTGCAATATTTTCCAATTTTGTTGTAATACCCTTAAGATCTTTGTTTTTATCTAGTTTTAAGTATGAAGTGTTTCGAATTTCATGTATTTTAATCCATTCTGGAGCTTCTTCAGTCAATAATTTAATGTCTTTATGTAAATCGTTAGCAGATACGTTTGACTTGAAACTACTGTCTAATTTTGAAAGAACAACATTTAATGCTAAAACATTTTTCCTTTCAGTCACAAATATATTCCTTAGAGTCCTAGCAAGGTCTGGCAAACGGCTATATACTAAATACTTTTGCTCATTTTCATTTGATCTTGTCATGGCTTCCAAAGCCTTTGCGGCTTGTTTTGCTTTGACTTTCTCTAACAGTGCAGCTGGCAAATTGCGTAGGGCAGGATTGAGTATTTGAACACTCGTAGATGGTTTTGGTTCACTTGTTTGAGTTTCATTATGAGTTTTCAGTGCATCTTTGATACCTGTTACAACCTTTTCTTGATCTGTCAATCCTCTTGCTTTAGCTTGAGCAAGTTTTTCTAATGCTCTTTCCATTTTTGTATTACATTTAAACAACTCTCTGGCTTTAGCTAATACATCTTGTGCCGATGAGAATTTTTCAGCATTAGGCATTTCAGGCAATTTTGCACTGTCTACTTCCGGAATCTTTTCTAGTTCGAATTCAGGGTGCCAACGGACCAGTTTTTTGTCTGGTATTTCAATTGGAGGGTCCAGAGTAGCCAAAAATTGGGCATGGTATTTTTTAACTAGCTGCAACAATGTGTCATAGAAATATCGTCTCCTTTCTAGGAGAACACTTGGATTCATAACTTTAATGTCATTAGGGAAATTTGGAGATATTATTAGTTCAAATGCTTCCTTCTGTGAGGTTGCACTAAAGTTTTTAATTTTCTGTATTTCAAAATTGTAGAAGTCTGGTACTAAATGTTTTATTTGTGCTAAGTGTTTCTCAGTAAAGCTTCTTTTAAGCATCTCTTGAATAGATGGTTTCAGTTTATTAAAGGTAATTTTTTCATTTCTGTTATAGAGCAATGCCACAACAGTTTCCATGCCTCGAAACAATTCAGCTAGGAATCTATAATGATGAGGTAATTGCAAAGATGTAGAAGATGCTAATGAAGCATGCCGTATGTATGCAGGTACCTAAAAGTATAAATTGAAAGGTTAAACAACATTGTTGCAAATAAAATATACTACTAGCTTTATTCTTTAGCATATGTATATAGAAATGTGCATATTTTGATGTTTTAACTGTTTAAGATGCAAACCAGGATATTATATTATATATTTAATATAAAGACTTCATTTATATTAATGTAGCTTTGAGCAAACTCAACAATTTTTATTATTTTATTCTTTTAAAATTGTAAAGCAATTTTATGTACATTTCGAACATTACAAAAATCAACAGGTAATTTTACCATAAGCCCAGATTATTTAAGTTATATATTATAATAATAGTATGTATTATTTATAATCTAAGTTACTGTCATCAATACTGAACATGTATACATATAAATATAATGATTAAATATAAATAATCATATATTTACAAACCTTATTAGGACTTTTAACTGGACTAACCACAACTTTTCTAGGTGATATTAAAGGTCTTTGGGAAGTAACCTCTACACTTGCACTCTTTGTTGGTGATAACAACTCACTGCGTATTGCTGATTTCTTACTTGGACTGGAATAATGTAATGAAAAGAATATTTAAAAAATCACAAGTTCAAACTCACTTTCAACTCACATACATAAGACAAATTAACATGTTTAAGTACCTTTGAGGCACGTCCACATCAATAGATTTGAACTCCTTTAGATTCTTCTTTTCTGTAGATTCCTTTAACTGCTGTATCCCTTTACTGAGCCGGTTTGCTGTAGCTCTTAATTCGGCTAATCTACTACTTCCAGCTAACTTCTTTTTGATATCACCGAGGCTTAATTCTTTTCTAGCTAAACTTAAAGTTTCGCTTTTATGTTCCTCATTCATCACATTTTTAGCATTTACTTTTTTCGCAAATGTAGCTAAATTTTTACATTGACCTGGCAGACTATCTGGTGTAGAAGTTTGATGTGTGATTTCAGTTTTCTTAACATTTTCTGTTTTTGATTCGACGGATAAAACAGGTGACTGTTTTAAATCGCAATTTCTAGATTTACGAATTGATTTAGTTCCTATATCTATCGGACGCTCAATATGAGCAATTTTATTCTTGGAATTTACTATTTCTTCTGTTGCAGGTCTCTTTCTACTATTAAAAAACGTGGTAAGTGTTGTTTGAGACATGATTAATTAAAATGTACAACAAAATAAGTCTATTATAAAATTATATTTGAATATTATTGTAACTTTGGCCCTCTGTTTTCCCTCCAAAATCCGTTATAAAAATGCTGATTGCTGCTGTCAAAAGTCAATATATTTAATACAGACCGCATAATCAGGGTTGCCAGATAATAATCGTTGATTTACCCGACCAATTAACCTCAAAATACTCGGGTTATCCCGTCGGCGCCAACCATGAGCAGAATACCCAAAAATAGTTTTTGACGTGAAAATTTCATTGCAGGTTTGCATGTTGAGTAAGTAAGACGTCATCGACATGGTCACGTGACGTGTTAACGCTAACACTCAGAGTGCCGACTGCCGATAGATCTCAAAACCAGATAAATGTAAACAATTTTAATTTTCAAATTTGAATTTAAGATCAAACAATTAATTTGAATATCCACCAATAACAACTGGTTGTTTATAGTTTTAAGTTTTCACTTCTGTCGGCGGTCCTCATGACTGCTTTTTTAAAATAATTAATTCCGTTCATAAAATACGTTCGCATACGTGGTGGTGGTGGGGGGTGCCTTGCTGAATTTGACAAGATAAGACAAGTGTGACAAGGGGAGACGGGGTCTATGACATGAGCGCTAGCTCTATGGCGCAGTTCTAGCGGCCTTTATCCATAATCCTTGGACTTCTGATTAATAGAAATATTTTTTTTTATAATAACAAAATAAATAATAAAAATGTGTGTACTATCATTTGAATTTTATCATACTCATTGTCGTAGTTTATGTGACGAAATATTTCTAGGGGGGTGACAGAAAGTGTGATACAGCGTGACAATAGGGGCGGAGGGGGTTAAAAAAGCTGATTTTAGCGTGACGTATTTTATGAATGGCCCCTTATGTAGAGTAAAAGAAAGCACTAATTATAGAAAAAGAAGCCATTGTAATCAGTTCTCAATTAAACAGCTTTAAATTATTGAATCAAACATAAAAAAAAATATTTTAAATAAAATCTTTTCAGATTTTTTCGCGAATTTATTTTCATATTTGGTTCCCGACGTTCTAGAAAAAATCCGTAAAGATAGTTTTATTTAAAATGTCAAATATTCGCGTAAATCTAAGAAAATATTATAAAAAAATAGTTAAAATATCAAATAAAGCAATTTCCACTCGCATTGGGCTTAGTAAAGTCAGAAGATCATAATTTGGTTCGCAAAATTTGAACGCTGGAATTTTACGATACTTCCTGCTATACGGATACCTTTTCGCACGGCCAATATTGCAACAACAGTATCTGTGTTCACTGAGTTTCAATGAGCATGTTTTAATATTTTTTATAATTACTATTATGATAATGTTGCCAGCTCAACTAAAATATCTGCTTTTACCCCGCTCAATGCAAATACTCGACAAAATTACCCGCTATAAAAAATCGCCTAAAATTATCTGCTTTTCGGGTAAATACCCTCCAATTGGTAGCGCTGCACATAACACTGTTATACAGATAATATGACATTTTCAAGAATGAATACAGATAGTATAAAATATGCAGAATATTATTTTATTATACAAATAAAAAAAAATTAATGGCTATGAGAGAAGTAACATACAAATCGCACAATTTCACGTCTATACTGATTTAAGTTTTTACTAAATAAATGATAAACAGCAAGGATCCGACCTTTTTTAAGTTATAAAAACTCTATTGATATGTTAAAAACTCAGTGTTGGTAAATAAACATCATTTCATTTTTTTCAAACGATATAAATAAATCATTTAATTCAGTATAAAACCAAACTCACACTCTCGCACTAGTGTGTATAATATAATAAATAAGTGTAGGTAGGTACACCTACATACTTAAGTTTAAGGTACTTTCTATTGATTTTCTATAAACTAATTAAAGCGAAACATAACGTCAGGTGACCAAAAATTACCCACAATGAAGTTTAAAACACAGTTCTTTTATTTGTGGGCGAGTTTTCAACCGTTTAAAAGGATTTATTTGGGGTTTAAAACGGCAGCATTTTATTCAAAAAGTTTTAAATCAGTTGTTTTACATCTATAATCAAAATTAATTGAACTGTTAACAACTTGAACTTTTCTGCGCATGTATTTTAGTGAGAGTATGCGCAAAAGACTTGAAAATTTGTTAATACAGTTTCGAAACAAATGTGAAATAGACACTAATTACCCTAAAGTTCTAAAATCTTAACATCATTATATAGAAGCCCGTTAGTAAAAAACTATATCATGCAACATGCTGGATGATATAATTTTTTTTCACATACTGGATAACAACTCTTTAAATACAATACTATCCTATCAATTGTAATAAAAGATAAATGAAATAAAATTAAAATCTGTTCTGCATTTTTTTTTTGCAAACTGTAAAATTTTGCAATGATCACTCCACTATTATTCTAGTAAGTACGTATTAAACATATTTAAAAATAAATATTTCTAAAAAGAATAATATGTCTGTGAATTTGTTCTTTCTGGTCTGAATGTTAGTTGATTGATCATTGACACATTATTTAAAATAATATAAATTAGAAGAGAGTGCGAAATGTTAATTTTTAACTAAAAACATTTTTTTAAAGATTCAAACTCTATATTTCGATAAAATTATTTCTTTAATACATTCTAATTATCAAAAAGTATACAGTGTCAAAAAATGAATCCTAAGCCGATTCTTGTAAAAACTGAACAGAGGAAAAGTATTCTCCTGACACCCAGTAGAATAGTAAGTCGACCTGATAATCTTGAAGGTGGTGAAGAGACAGAAATCGCTGCACAAATTTTAGTACCCCAAGAAGGCGGTTGGGGTTGGGTTGTAGTTGCTGCTTCATTTTGTACTGTTTTCATATTAGATGGAATATGCTTTACATTTGGGAGCTTATTAAAGGATATTGCAAATGATTTAGATGTATCTGATTCTCTAATAGCCTTTGTAAATTCCTTAGCTATTGCAATTTATTTCATTGCAGGTCCTATAGCATCAGCATTTATTAATCGTTTTGGTTTCCGGGCATGTCTAATGTCAGGATCTGTACTTAGTTCATTTTGTTTATTCATTTCATATTTTGCAACCAATTTTCCATCACTTTGTATATTTTACGGATGTTTTGCCGGAATCGGGTACTGCTTAATAAATATGTCATCAAGTCTCGTTGTAGGATTCTATTTCGAAAAATTACGATCACTAGCTTTGGCTATAGCTACATGCGGGTCCAGTGTTGGAGTTATGGTTTTTTTCCCATTGAATTTTTATTTAGTTAAGTTAGCTGGTTGGCGAACTACAACATTACTACATTCTGGACTCATTGGTATGACTTATTTCTTAGGAATGACTTTCCAACCCTTACTATCTTTCACTGTTGCAAAAGCGACTGATGATCCCACACGTACTGTTACTTATTTGCCTAACCTATCGACAGCTGTGGTTCAACAAACTGCAGGACGTACTAAAACAGATGAATTAATGCCTACAGCAACTGAACGCTTATTCTGCGCTGCTTCAAACTTAAATTTTCCAACTGCTGCAGCTGTGGTAGATGAGGGTAAAGTTACTACAGATACTCAACCAGGTCCATCAACAGCAGCAGTATCTAAGCTTACACTGACTGCAAATGCGCCGCAAGGAGGTATAAGCCCTAGGCAATTAAAGCAAGTACAATCTATTATGTCTAGGACCAGTGTACAGGATAAAATTAAGAAGGCTATAGAAATAACTGTAACGGTAGAGCAACCAAAAAAAAGTAGTTGTTGGGGACGTTTATGTCATTGGGAACAACATATTCCACAATCACGACCTATGTATAGAGACGACGCTTTTTATCATGGAAAATTAGAAAAACTACCAGTTTACCAAAAAAGTATGATGAAAACAGATACGTCGAAAACTGGACTTGAGTACCAGTTAGCAGTATCTAGAGCAGCGACTGCGGTAGATTTACGAGAACAAAGAGGAGTATTTACAACGGCTGCTAGAAGAGTATTAGCGACAATGATGGATCCTAAATTATTAAAAAAGAAATCATTTTTATGCTTATGCTTGGCTGGTTTGTTAATATATGTGGGTTTTCTAACTCCATACGTATTTATACAAGATAGGACTTTAGAAGCAGGGTTAGATCCCCGACACTGTAACTTGTTTGTAAGTGTTATAGGATTTTCAAATGCTGTTGGTAGGTTGATATTAGGAGCTCTCGCCTGTAAAGTGGATCCAGTGTATGTATATTTATTTTCTATGATAGTGTCAGGATTCAGTACGATTTTTTCTCATTTGTCTTTTAATTTATACTTTCAATATTTGTACTGTTTCATTTTTGGATTTTTTATATCTAGCCTTGCTTCCTTAAGAAGTATGGTTTTAGTATCTTTGTATGGACTAGATAACTTAACAAATGCTACTGGAATTCTCTTGTTATTTCAAGGATTAGGTAGTTTAATCAGTACTCCAACTGCTAGTATATTGAAAAATCTGTATGGATATTCTGTGGCATTTTGTGTAGCTGGATTTTTTATCATGATTGGCGGTTTAATTTTACTACCTGTTAAAAGGATGTCCAATAAAGAAAACAAATGCAATATACCTGCTGCTACAGAACCTTCTGATAAAAAAATATGACATAATATTTACTAGGTACCTAATAATATTAAACAGCATTTGTCTAGTTTTATTGTAGACTAGTTATAACCCTCACTTCTCTCAGGCTTTTCTATAGTATAAACTAGGCACTAGTCAAAGTCTCTGCCCGCGTTCAGATGACCAAAAGTCAAATTCTTAGGTGTTACATATTAGTATACTCTTACTTTGCAGTTTTTGTATTTTTTCTCAGAAATGAGATATTTTCCCGCGGTAAAAAGGATCCTATATGTTGACCCGGATAACCAGCTATCACCATAAAACATTTCATGAAAATCTCTCCAGTGGTTTTTCTGTGATGCGGTAACAGACAGACAAAAATTCTAAAAATTATATCCAGATTCGGCCTCTGTATCGATAATAATGTCTATTTCAATAAGATTTTCCAAAAAATATTGAAAGTACAGATTCGGCTTAGTTACAAATTTATTATACGTATAGATTTTAATCTCTTGACCTTAATCAACATTAATACTATTCGTTAGAATTTAAAGTATTTAATGTGATGATTACAAATATAATTTTATGATTTTACTTGTAGAATAGTGGAATATATTGAAATATTTTTTGATAATTTACGTGCCTATAAAGAGGCATCAGACAGCACCCACTCCACGTTGTTTTAATATAAAATATAAATTGTGTCATACTCATAGACTTTGTAAGTTTGTCTATGATTAATTTTCTTATGGCAGCACTAAAACGGTTCATGTTCGAGCGCATTTTGTTCTGTCTGAAACCGGCCGCCATACTCAAACAAAAAGATTGAGATGAAAAGATAAATTTATTTATATTGAAGTTCGGTACCAGTGTTTTAATTTACTAAATGAGTTCTAAATCAGATGTAAACAGAAGAGTCCTCGCCATTCAGGCGAAAAAGAAAAGGCATAAACTCGGAAAGAAGAAAAATCGTGAGGAAGATCACGGCGCTGGTGGACAAGGAAACGGGCTGCGCAATCAAAACCAGAATCGTCTTGAACCGACACACAGTTCTTCCAATGAAACGATTGAGGAGGATGAAGATGAACAATATGCTAGTGACGACGAGGAGCAGGAGGACAGCGCCGACTACTGCAAGGGTGGATACCATCCTGTCAAAATCGGAGACCTATTCCTGAATCGCTACCACGTCACAAGGAAATTGGGTTGGGGTCATTTTTCTACCGTATGGCTGTGTTGGGATCTAGCTGACAAGCGATTTGTCGCGCTAAAAGTAGTTAAGTCTGCACCTCATTTTACAGAAACAGCTTTAGATGAGATTAAGATATTAAAAGCTGTCCGTGACAGTGATCCTACGGATCCTAAGAGGAATAAAACAGTTCAATTGCTTAATGATTTTAAAATAACAGGGGTGAATGGAACTCATGTGTGCATGGTGTTTGAGGTCTTAGGACATCACCTATTAAAGTTAATACTAAAGTCTAATTACCGAGGCATTCCCCGTGAAAATGTTAAAACTATTATCCGCCAAGTACTGGAGGGCTTGGATTATCTTCATACTAAATGTAAAATAATTCATACTGATATAAAACCTGAAAATGTTTTAGTGTGTGTTGATGAAGCATATATTCGTAAATTGGCAGCAGAGGCTACTGAGCTACATTCCTTGGGTCTCAGGTTACCTCATTCTCTCATCAGCACTGCACCAAAAGAGTTTCAAGAACAAGTAGTTACTGGCAAAATGAGTAGAAATAAAAAGAAAAAGTTAAAGAAAAAGGCAAAGCGCCAATCTATGCTTCTAAAAAAACAAATGGAACAAATAGAAGAAATGGAAGAACAGAAAAAGACAGGTAACAATAGTGAATCTGCACCTATGTCACAGGATAATGATGATTCCCCACCCACACCAGAAGAAGTCAGTGTAATAGAGAATACACGGTCTGAAAATGAATTGAATATAAATGGCTGCAATGACATGCAAAGAGCAGATGATGATGTTTTTGATACAGATGCTGAATCGGTTCAAGTAAGAAGTAAGCAGTACGGTTGTGGAGATGATGCAGGCACACCTATGTCTGAGGGAGAGATGACTGATACCCCACCTTCCTTTAATTCACAAAATAAAAGTAAAATGGACAAGACACCGGACCCTGCATTTGATGTTTGCGATGTGGAAGTCAAAATTGCTGATTTAGGAAATGCTTGTTGGGTTCATCGTCACTTTACAGAAGATATTCAAACTAGACAGTACAGATCATTAGAAGTTTTACTAAGTGCAGGTTATGGCACATCAGCTGACATTTGGAGTACTGCCTGTATGGCTTTTGAATTAGCTACAGGGGACTACCTTTTTGAACCTCATTCTGGGGATGGTTATAGCCGAGATGAAGATCACTTAGCTCATATCATTGAGTTGCTTGGTGATATTCCTAAAAGAATTGCTGCATCAGGAAAGTACTCTAAAATATTTTTTAATAAAAAAGGTGAACTTAGAAATATAACTGGATTAAAGCCTTGGGGCTTAGTTTCTGTCCTAACTGAGAAATATGAATGGAGCCAAACAGATGCCGAGGAGTTTGCTGATTTTTTGAAGCCCATGTTGGACTTTGATCCTAATCGGCGAGCTACTGCTTATGAGTGCCTTCAGCATCCTTGGTTGAAGATAGCAAAGCCAGAACAAAATGAGTCTGAGGAATAATTGCTCTCTGTCACATGGAATGTTTATACATTCTTCAAATCAGTAGTGTCGTCATAACTAAGTATTTCAGTGTTTTATGTTATAATCAAAGTTTATTTATGGATTTGTTTGTGAATAGTTTAATTTGTATCTAGATTGTTTTGTTCACAATCGTTGATTTCAGAATTAAATTGTGTGCAAATAGAGGAAAGATGTGATGAGTCATGAGATATTAGAGACCCATTATTGACAGTAGCTATGTATATAATACACCTGCTGCTCAAGTAAGTAGCATCAAATTAGATTGGCGTTTACAAATCTCCAAATTCCCAAAATTGTACAGATAGCTGTAGAAAATTGTGATGTATGATGACATATAGACAATATAGGTTTGGTCACATTAAATTAAACATTAGAAGTGAATAGCTGACATAGTATCGCACTTAAAACCACCTAGAATGTGAAAACCTATGCAGGTCATGCATACAGTAGCCATTCTGGTAGAATGTTCACATAGATTAAGTTTGTCTTTTATCACTATCACAATAAAAATCTCATAATGTAAACTTAGAAATAAGACAGTATTTGTAATGCCACATTTCCGAGACTGCCTTTTTATATTTGAATGAGTCACATAAAATTATAAATGGTTGCAATTGACTGTTGTTGAGAGGCAGTGAAACGGTGACCTTAAACAAGTTAATAGTTATATTATTTACCATAGATCCCAATTTACATGACCATAATTTGTATTAATTATATCTGCAAATTTACATAAATAAAATTACGAAACGAGCTTGTTATTATGATCTTTTTACTTAAAAATCCTGTAGAAAGTAATGCATTAGATTCTTTAAAGCAATATGAAAATTAAACATATTTGCTATTTGTTAATTTTATGATCTAATTATAGAAACTGTTACATGAATGTAAACAGATATATGGTTTCAAGTATAAGGTGGGGCAGGAAGTACAATGTTTAGGAATAGCTTGTGATTCCCAATGATCTTATTGTACACAAGGGAACAATTGTGCTATTATATGAGAACCACAATGCCATGCCATACGCATAATATCTATAACCTTTTATTATTTTTTAAAACTCCTTTGCAAGAATCTATATATTATGGTCATTTAAATATTATATTTTTACAATATTTGTTTTTCTTAACCTTAAAAAACAAGAATTTAGAAGTTCTACTTTATTTGTGTGGTAATTTAGATTTTTACTATATTATTTTAACTTGTGTATCCATATTTTTTTCCATTTATTTCCATATATTTATTAAATGATTTTTATATTATGAACGATAGACAAATTTAAATTTTCCTCATTATGTAAGTTTAAATATCTGAATTCAACAGAGTACAAGCAAAGCCGTATCAGTTGTAGGACTCAATATATTATTGATACATTTCTGTATTGTTGGATGTCATGAGTCATGACTAATACATTGCTTGCCTACCTACTACCTAATGGAAAGCCTGGCAGATCAACTGTGACGATAGCAGGTACGTAGTATGTATACGATACTAGCGACCTGCCGTAGTTTCACTGAGGCCTCAAAATTCTACATGATTATATTATGTATTTGTTTTTATTATGAATATATAAGAAAACTTATATTTTTCGAGCTTTATAATTTTGATCATACATAATAAAGCAAATATTTTAATGATATAAATTGTCTTCCAAAATAATTTTCCATTGTATTTGGTAAGTACCTACCTGTACGAGTATATATGTATGTACATATTTACGAGTCACTTACCCTCGCTTCGATTCGGGTTCGTCCCTAGATTTTTCCGCGGTAATAAAAACAAATCTATCCCACGGGAACGTTTAGTATCGATTATTCAGAGATGAGATATTTTCCCGCAGTTTTCACATATTTAAAAAAAATACGTTAAGATCGGATAAGTAGTTTTGGAATTCATCCTGGACCAACATCGTGACACGGGAATTTTATATATTATTAGCGGCTCACCCTCGCTGACAAACGAACCTATACCACGGTAACCGTATATTTTTCCCGGATAATAAGTATATGTGTTATTACAGACTATAATCTATCTCTGTGCCAAATTTCATCCAGATCCGTTCAGCCGTTCTGGCGTGAAAGGGTAACAAACATACATCCATACTCACAAACTTTCACATCGATAATATTAGTATAGTTTTATATATTAATCTGTTGATAATCTCGGATACGCCGGCGTGTCAATTAACAATTAATTTCCCGGAAATTTGCACGGAGGCGGATAAAGAATAAAGCTTAGTATGAACTAGCGATTCACTCTCACTTCGCTCGTGTTCGTCTCTAGGCATGTTTTCACAGTTAGTATGGAATAGATAAGGGTACTACAGGGTGGATTTTTGAGACGGGATAAGAACGGTAAGGGGGAGTGAATCAGGCCAAAAAAAATCCTTTTTTTTATCTCCTGTATGTTTAATCGATGACCCCATAGGAAAGCTTCATTTATACAAAAAATCAAAAGTCTACGACTTTATCTTCAGGTGGTGACTGAACAAGTAACTTACAAAAAACTTAAATTTTACCCTCAAATTGTTTTTTTTTTCAACTTTCAATCATAATATTTTTATGTTGTATAAGCCATACTTGAGAAATGACTGATTCCTCATTCAAAATGACTAAGAACGACTCGATAAAATCAGTTATTATTTTCTAGTGGGAAAGAAAGATTTTCCTGAAGTAAAAGGTATCTTAAATGTTGACCCGAGTAATAAGACTCATAGTACACCGCCGACAGAAGTGGGCCACCTCCCTGTGTTTCTCTTGGCTTCGCACCCGGCTGGGTTGCCAGACGCTCATGAGCCCTCCCACCATGACATGGTGTACCCACATCGCGGGGGATATACTTATTTAATCTAATTTAAAATGAAGCGTTTAGTTATTTTATAGATATGTAATTCTAATGACGATTTCAACAAAGCTATTTACCCGCTTTGTATACACGTTATAATTTATAGTAGTTACCGTTGTATTCTAATATGAGGCGTTAACAAATCTGTCTTATCAGAAGTAAGACCTGATGTTTATGTCAGTACTAAAGATAATTTCTACTTATACCAATTACTACGTAGTCAAAAATTATAAAATATGCACTATTTCTATGACTTTATAAAAATTACGCCTCGTAATTTTGTCAATAGATGGCACTAGATTCTGTTTGTAATATTGTTTAGAGATACTATTATAAATGTTAATATAACTATTATAGATCTTACAATTATGAATTATATTTGAGCTCACTAATGAATAATGACGTCTTTTATAAGTATACTAGGTAAGTTAATTAAAAAAGGTTTTTAATGTTTCGTTTAGACTTTCGTAATAGTTGTGCATATCATAACTAGATGTCGCTACACGGGGGTGGGTATTAATAAATCTATAATAATCTATCTATACATATAATAAAATTGTAACTAAGCCCAATCTGTACATCAAATATTTTTTGGAAAATCTTATTGAAATAAACATTATTATCGATACAGAGGCCGAATCTATAATTTTTAGAATTTCTGTCTGTCTGTCTGTCTGTTACCGCATCATAAAAAAACCACTGGAGGGATTTTCATGAATTTTTGTATGGTGATAGGTGGTTATCCGGATCAACATATAGGATACTTTTTACCGCGGGAAAATATCTCATTTTTGAGAAAAAATACAAAAACTGCAAAGTAAGAGTGTACTAATATGTAACACCTAGGAATTTGGTTTTTGGTCATCTGAACGCGGGCGGAGCCGCGGGCAATGCTAGTCTTTTATAAAATTAAAAAACGCCATCTGTGATTAATATGCTCTGTAAGCTCATTATTTGATTGCTGATTTTTCAATAATCGGTAAAACTACGCAAATTGGATTTACGAGCGTATTGCTACATTTGCTTTCACTTAGAATATTTTTTTAAAACCATAATATACTTGTTAGGGATCTATTTATTAACGTTCAGTACATACTTAAAAATATCGATACCTACATAGCCACCTTTTGACATTTATTTGAATTAATTTTTATTTGTTCGTGATGAGACTACATGCTGCTATATGTCCAAAGGAAAGATGGAAGATAAAATGAAAATTCCGGGAAATCAAAGTTTTACTTTGAGAAGAAAAATAGAAATTTTGCAAGAGAATTCCGTCCAAGATTTCGAGGCCTCGTATATCTGTATACTTAATGTTATATACTGTGTAGGTGGTACATTTGTAGGTATAATATAGATGCCATTAACCTTAATTTTTTTTGTTTATTTACTAATACATGACATGAATTAACGTGTGACGTGGTTATTAAAACTAGGCATTTTAAATTTTAATTTGTAAATCTGACTTATATAAATTTGGAGCCGGAACAATGCGAGCCTTTATGACACTTTAAATCCATACTAATATTTAGAAATGTGAAAGTTTTTAGTTTTTTTTGTGTAGTTTTAGCGCGAGCGAAGCCGCGGGTTCTGCTAGTATATATAAAAACTAGCAGAACCTGCGGCTTCGCTCCCGCTAAAACTAAAATATAAACTCTAAAAAAGTAGGTTCCATGCAAACTTTCATCCCCAACTTTACCCCCTGGGATAAATTTCGAATAATGCTCAAACATGTACCTATTCGTTTAATTGTATTGAAAAGCATTTATACTAAGTTTCAAATAATTCTGATCTTAAATATTTTTTTGAGTTGTATTATAACTCGTTTTTCCGTGGGAATAAAATAATCTCGGAAGGAAATATGTCACTCTCCAGTCCTCTATCTATCTCCACACAAAAAATCACGCCAATCCGTCACTCCGTTTCGACGTGAAAGAAATACAAACAAACACACTTTCACATTTATTATATTAACTATTGATATTATCGTGCCAGCCGATACACAAAGTACACCGACTTGGAAAATATCTGATGAGTGTATACCAAGTAAATGAAAACTACCAATCAGTTATTTTTTACTTTCTAGTGATGTTTTTGAGTTCTGTTTTTATTTATTTTTTGAAAAGTTTATA